GCTTTTCCCGCCCAAATAGTATGACAATTACAAATGGCAATTCTAAAGTTAAAATGGTAACTGGCTGAAATTATAGTAATAATTATTTTAATTATTATATTTATAATAATTAAAGAAAGGTCAGTTAAAATGGCCGAAAGGTAAGTTAATAATTGTGAATTTATAATGGTAAGTGGCCGAAATTGTAAAGTAATAATTATTATATTTATAATAATTAACGTATTGAAAATTGGAAATAATTAAAAAGGGTAAGTTATAAAATTGCAAAGCGTAAGTTTTTAATAAAATATGGAATCAACGTATTATATGCTAATAATTAACCAACGTTATTATGAGTACTGATTGGAAACGTCCTAAATTTTTGCAAGAATAAAAAATTTTCATTTTTAACAATTTTTGTGTAAGTGTGAAGCTCATATAGCTATTTTTTCTAAAATAATTAACATGAGTAATATAAAATGGTAAGCGTTAAGTTAACCAATTGGAAATAATTAAAAAAGGTAAGTTATACAATTATACACCCAATTTCACAAAAAAATAATTGGAAATAAAAAAAGGTAAGTTATAAAAATTAATGTGAGTAATATAAATTGGAAATAATTTAAAAAAGGTAAGTTATACAATTGCACACCCAATTTCGCAAAAAAAAAAAATAATTATGGTAAGAATAAATATACACCCAATTTCGAAAAAATTTAACCCTTCTATAAAGATAATATTCCCACAAGTTGTACAAATTATGAAGTCTATAAAAAGTCTTTCGAAATTTGTAAAATAGTGATGTTTTTTACCTTAAAATAATATAATCTCTATATTCTATTGCATCTCATTTTTATCATTGAAAAATGATTTGAATTTAATAACATAAAAATGACACGTGCAACGCACGGGTGTGATACTAGTATTTTTAGGTCTGAATTGAAATAACATAAAATATTTATCCCTCCATCCTAAATAATCTTCTGAGTCACTATTGACATGGTCACATTTAAATAATTTTCTTTACTCATTTTTGTTAATTGTTTGATAAAATAATATAGAGTAAATTCAATAAAAGGTTCCCAGTTATAGGTGGTTTTACATATTTAGTCCCTACATATCAAATACCACTAATTTAGTTCCCAATTATTATACGGAGTATCATTTTTCACGAATAGTCCTTTGTTAACATACGTTTCTGTTAAGAACATGGATAAAATTGTATATTCACACTTCTCTCTCTCACTCTTCAACTAAGCTTCCTTCCTCCTCTCGTACTTCTTCCCAAACTCGTCGCTAAGTTTGAAGCTCTAAACACAAAACCGAAATGATCACTCTTCTCTCAATTGTTAGTCTTCCTGGTGGAACTTAAAATCAAAACCAATAACCTTTATGGATGAGTTGTATCGGTTAGTCTCAAGAAATTACAAAGAAAATAATCATTAAAACTCATCCATGAAGGTTATTGGTTTCGAATTTGGGTTCTACTAGTTGGACAAACAATTGAGAGAAGAGTGATGATTTCAGTTTTGGGTTCAAAGCTTCAAACTCATCAGCGACGGGTTTGGCAAATGAGTGTAAGGGGAGAGGGGAAGCTTTATTTAGGAGAGAGATGATTGTGAATTTATAATTTTATCCACGTTTTTAACGGAAATGTTAACAAAGGACCATTCGCGGGAAAGAATATAATAATTGAAAGAGTAAATTCCCAAAATAGTCCTTTGTAATAAGGGATTTTCCCAAATTAGTCCTCAATAAGTTTTAATTACCTATATGGTCCTCTATAATTGAGATTTATTCCCAAAATAGTCCTTTGTAATAAGATATTTTCCCAAATCAGTCTTCAATAAGTTTTAATTACCTAGGTGGTCCTCTATAATTGAGATTTATCCCCAAGATGGTCCTTCATAAATAATGTTGCTCAAATGAGGATTAATTAAGGTTATTTTTTCTCTGCTAAATTTAAAATTAATTTTTAAAATAATCATTTATAATGAAGTGCTTTCCCAAAATGGTTTTTCTAATTAAAGATGTGTATTTGATTTGAAATTTAAAAGATTTTTTAAGTTTTAAATAATTCATAAATTATTTATGAATAAATTCTCAAAATGGTCCTTTGTAATAAGGTGTTTTCCCAAATCAATCCTCAAATGAGGATTAATTGGGAGATATTTTGGTATTTTGATAATCCAAATTTAAAGTATATTTTTGAAACAATCATTTCTGTACAACTAAATGTAAAATTTAAAAAATACATTGAGTATAAATAATTTATGAATTATTTAAAACTTAAAAAAAATCTTTTAAATTTTAAATCAAATACACATCTTTAATTAGAAAAATCATTTTGGGAAATAACTTCAGTATAAATGATTATTTTAAGAATTAATTCTAAATTTAGCAGAAAAAAATAATCTCAATTAATCCTCATTTGAGTAACATTATGTATGAAGGACCATCTTGGGGATAAATCTCAATTATAGAGGACCACTTAGGTAATTAAAACTTATTGAGGACTGATTTGGAAAAATACCTTATTACAAAGGACTATTTTGGAAATAAATCTCAATTATAGAGGACCATGTTGGTAATTAAAACTTACTGAGGACTAATTTGGAAAAATCCCTTATTACAAAGGACTATTTTGGGAATTTACTCTAATTGAAAACTAAATTATTGATATGTGATATGTAGGGACTAAATATGTAAAATGAACTATAACTAGAAACCTTTTATGGAATTTACTCAATAATATAGTAATGTCACTTCTTGTTTTGTAAAACTTTTGATGTAGTTTTAAAATATATAATTTTAATTTTTTAAGTTAACATCTATAATCAAATAAATTGAATTGAAATTATTACTTTCAGTCAAACATCATAAATCGAAACGGATAGATCATTTTATTAGGACAAAAGGAGTATATTTATTTTTCTTAAAATAATGGCTAACTATTAAGCCAATTTTTGAGGTTTTACATTTATATTCTATATGTTTAGTTGAGTTTATCTCTTTATTGAATTTATTAAAAATAATAGTACAAAATTCTAATATTAATCCATGTATTTAAAAACTATATCAAATACTCTATAAAATAAGAAGTTACAAAACTGCTATTTTAGCAAATGATTAATAAAAAAATATTGTTACTCTAATGTATACAAACATGTTTAAAGATGGGATCCATATACGGAGTACCTAGTTTAATTTGATAAAAGTGAGATTATTTTACACAAAATAAAACATTACATTTGCAACTCATCATTTCGAGTCTGTTCTTTAGGGATTAAACTCTTAACTTCCAATTTCTTTCAGTTCTTTCCGGTTTCTTCTAGTTCTTCAAGTTTCTTTCGAAGTATTCTCATTTTTTTCAAACTCTTTGTACTTCCTAACCAATTACTCTAAAAATGATATATTTCTAATGTGATTATTATTATTATTACAACTGTTATTTTCATAACTATAGTTTATAAATTATTTTTTCATCTCATTATGTTTACGATTCACACTCATTATTTTTTCTTCAACTTTTTAATATGAATAAGACAATTTTTTTTCTATATTAATCTACATGATAAAACAGCAAAATATCAATATTATAAACTATTTAAAAATTATGGACAAAATAGTTATATAGAATGATTTATTAATCTAACTTTATATAAGACCATATTCTTTTCCTTTATTACTCAAATTTTTTTATTTTTATAATTTTCATCAAAAAAATTTTAAAGTCAAAATAGGTTAGAGAAAAAGACTAAAATAGGAGTAAAACATAAAAAATGTAAAAAAAAAAGTTCTATGTCTTTATTCCAAAAATATGAGTTACAATGAAAATAAAATGTCAATCATGAAAGGAAAATATGTTTGATTACATTATGTGACATGTCTGATATTTAAAACAAAATCTTGTAATGTATAAAGTATAATTATAAATATATTATTTATAACAAATACTGCATAAATAAATTGAGGTGCAACGTAACCACAAAACTCTTTAAATTGAGTAATTATTTTTTGCAAAAGTAATTTTTTTGTGTATGAAAAATAACAATACTTTTTTATCTTAAAGATATTCATTAATATAACGTGATGATGATGATGATGATAATAATAATAATAATAATAATAATAATAATAATAATAATACGGAGTAATAATAATAATAATAACAACAATAATAATAATAATTTATAACACTAAGAATTAGAATCAGAATAATATACAAATACACTAAAATAAAATATTTAAAGTTTTTTTATGTTTTCCAATTTTTTTTAAGTTTTTCCAGTTTCTTCCAAATTCTTCTAGTTCCTTCCAACATCCAATTCCTTCCAATTTCGTCAATTCTTGCCTTTAATGTAATACTACAGTACAAAATTCGTAACAATGCAAAAAGGTAAGATTATTTCACATAATATCAAAATATGATATTAGTTTTACAAATTCGCAAAAATGTAGGATTATCTAAGATAATTTTTCGTTAATTTTATGACAATTTCAAACTAATTTAGTTAGAAATGGCAGTTTATTTTGATCAATTTTTTTTTTTAAAATTACCTTACTCCCTATGTTACAGAGTATTTGTCTACTTTTGACTTTTCTCGGTCAAAATTGGTAAACTTTGACCTCAAACTAAATAAAAACGATACGGAGTATTATATATTAATACAAAAATACTTTTATTAAATTTATTATATCAAGTATTTTCAAAATATTATTTTATCTAATTAAAATATAATATATATATATATTTTTCAATTATAAGTCAGAAATTAAAAAAAATTAATTGAAAAAAGTCAAAATTAGACAAATACTACGAGAGCTTTATTTATGAGAACAAGAACTAGTAAGGAGAAAGTAGTACGTGAAGAAGGTGCCTAGCTTCCCTCTAGGGTCAAAATGGCCATTTCCCCGTTGCAGTTTGCCATAACTACTGAACTACTACTACTACTCCTTTCTTCTTCCTCGGCTCAACAAAATCTCAGCTTCTCTCTATCTGTTCTTCTCTTGCCGATTCAATAAAGAGGAGCTTCGATTTGGATGAGCCATCCCGCAATTCCTCCCTCCCCAAGAAGCTTCTGGGTCCTCTCCGGTTCAAAATGGGTGGCAAAAACGGAAGCTTTGCCGTTCTCCTGTGCGCCGCGGCGGTGCTGCTCGCCGCTGCTCCGGCGGAGTCGGAAATCGGAGTGAACTGGGGCACCCGCTCCCTCCACAAGATGTCGCCGGCCACGGTGGTGGATCTGATCAGGGACAACGGGATACGGAAGGTGAAGCTGTTCGAGGCGGATCCGGATGTGCTCGCAGCGTTGATGGGCAGCGGGATTGAAGTCATGGTCGGAATCCCAAACGAAATGCTGGCAACCGTTGCGTCTTCTCCGTCCTCCGCGGATCTGTGGGTTTCCCAGAATCTGACCAGATACATGGTTAAAGGTGGCGTTGATATCAAGTAAGTATTTCTCTGTTCATTGCCTACCACCTGTTTGATCTTGGGTCTGAGAGAGACATTTCTAGCTCAAAGCATGTAAAATTACACTTACCTCATCTAACCTGTTCCAAATTACTACTTAATTGAGGTTTGAGCTCTCAAATTATGAATTTCAAGCTTCAAATCCCTGCATTTCTAAATTTAATTATTTGTTTGTTTAACCAAAAATTTAACATATATAACTTGTCCAGGATACTTTTATAGTAATAACATTAGATATAACTAAAACTTGTTTTAAACATTAGATGCTTTGGACATTCAGGAGTACTATTTTTATTTAAAACATTAGACATAATTAAAATTTGCTTATTTTTCAAATGAGACTCTCAATTATAATGATAAACTTCACAGTTCTATAACGATTATGGAGAAAAGAATTCACTTTCTTGTGATTTATAGGATAAACTTGATATTAACATTGAAGATGATTACCAACTCAGTGGAAATCTTCATGCAGTTTGATGTGCATGATCATTAGGATGAGTCAATATGGATTAGATGGTGGTGCTAAACATGAAGATTATAAAATTATGAAAACTTGTTTCCCATTGGCATTGACAAATAAAATTTGGTAACAGGTATGTTGCGGTTGGGAACGAACCTTTCCTCGCCAGTTATTCTGGTCAGTACCAATCCGATGTTCTCCCGGCTATGACAAACATACAACAATCTTTAGTCAAAAGAAATCTTGCAGGGACCATAAAGCTGGTGGTACCGTGCAACGCAGATGCCTACGAGTCTCCCTCCTTGCCATCACAAGGTGCCTTCCGACCCGAATTGACCCAAATAATGACCCAACTTGTTTCCTTCCTCAACTCTATAGGTTCGCCATTCATCGTCAACATATACCCATTCCTCAGCCTCTACGGAAACTCCGACTTCCCTCAAGACTATGCGTTCTTTGAAGGGACAACCCATCAAGTAGTGGACGGCCCAAACATCTATTACAACGCCTTTGATGGGAACTTTGACACTTTAGTATCAGCCGTCTCTAGAATCGGGTATGCCCAAATGCCCATAGTCATAGGGGAGGTGGGTTGGCCCACTGAAGGAGCCCTCAGTGCCAACCTAACCGCCGCAAGAGCTTTCAACCAAGGGCTAGTGAACCGTGTCCTTAGAAACCAGGGGACCCCTCTGAGGCCTGGGGTCCCTCCTATGGACGTTTACCTTTTTAGCCTCCTCGATGAAGACGGGAAAAGCATTCTTCCTGGAAACTTTGAGAGACATTGGGGAATATTCTCTTTCGATGGGCAAGCAAAGTATAAACTGGACCTGGGCAACGGTCTTTTGAAGAACGCCAAAGAAGTAAAGTATCTTCCATCAAGATGGTGCATTGTGAAACCTGATAGAGATCTTTCAGCTGCGGATAACCACTTCAGGACTGCCTGTAGCTTTGCCGATTGCACGACCCTAGACAATGGTGGGTCGTGTAATGGCATTGGGCCAAAGGTAAACATATCTTACGCGTTTAACAGTTATTATCAGCTGCAAAAGCAGAATCCTCGGAGCTGTGATTTCGATGGGCTTGGGATGGTCACTTTCTTGGACCCTTCAGTCGGTGAGTGTAGGTTCCTTGTTGGGGTCACCGATGCAAAATCTTCAGGTTCGAGGTCACAAAGCAGGTGGGTTATAGCCATATTGATGACTTTTGGGTGTTTCTGGTTATCTTTTATGACCAATGGATTTTTCTAGCGGAGATTGGCAAGCTCCTAAAACATGAAAGATACTGCACAGAGATTAGTACAAGATTAGAAGTCAGTTCCAGGTCTGGTTGTACAAGATGATGTTTGTCTGATTGGGCATTGAATAGGACTATAGATTATGATTTGTGATTTGGGATGAACAAAAGCTAAATTCCAGCATGTAAATTATTGTATTATTGTAGAATCCAAACACTATGCATGTTTGTCTTTTGTCCTAGACTTGATGCAGTTTGTTGTACTGAACTAAAGATTCAAGATTTTGGTAGATGACCGTGACCCAGATAGCTAGAAGTGCACTGGTTTTTCCCCTCCATCGGTGACCGCGGAGCACTCCCAACGAGACCCGTACTTGTGGTTCGCTATATGTCGGGTTGGTTCTGGTTCTTAGACTGGGAAAGAGTATGACAAATTCTTTTTTATAGGAGACAACTTTCTTGATTGAACCATACCTTGCTCCATAATGCCACATCAAATATTGGTATGTTCTTGAGGACTTCGATGTGGGAGCTTATTAGACTTGACAATCGGGTCAATCGATTTGATTTCAGTTTGGATAATTTCAGTTTGGGTCTTTCGAATATATGTTATCAATTCGAGTCGGTTTCAGGTCTAATTTGGTTTGATTTTTTTTGTTTTGTTTGGTTTTGGTTCGGTTAGATATTGGTTCAGGTTTTAACCAGTTCGAGTTTATATCGATTCGAATTTATACCGGTTTCAGATGAGATCCCTTGGTATCAAAATTCCTAATGTTAGCCTTGTGTGTAGCCTCCCCTCCCTATATGTAAAGGGATATATATACAACTGTCACCAATAATGGACCAGTATATCAATCAATGTGTGTTACCATGTCAGTATAAATTGTACTATATACTTTGTATGAAAAATAGAGACAATTACCTAAGCTTAAGTGATAAAATATTTCTACATGAAATCAATTGTACCTATAATTCAAATGTACTTTTCTTAGAAAGACATCAATTAATGAGCTATTAGATTTGACGGGATTTGAGTTTAATTTATTTTGAACTTGATCAATATAAGGTCTAATTGATTTCAGATCTGATCGATTTCGGGTTTAACCCGTTCATGTTCAATCAGATTCGGTTTTAAATTAGATCTGAATACATTCGGTTCGGTTTCGGTTTGGTTATAATTTGATTCTTCAGTTTTTGGGTCATTCCGAATTATTCGGATTCTAGTTTTTTGTCACCCACGTGCCCACATCAGCTTCCACTCACCTCATCAAATCAAACAACCCCTAAGAGGGTACTTGGTACCATGATGATTTACGCCCTCCGCGTAGCAGGGGAAGAGCCAGGGTGGGGGCATGTGCCCCAACTAGGCGATTTGGGAAAAGGTACTTTCGAGGCAATTCCGGTGATTTTGACAATGGTGTCCTTCGTATTCTTAACGGTTTGAGTGCAACCGAGTGAGGCTTTCACCTTTTGGAACATGAATAAAGACATTGGACCTCTGGAAACACAAGAGGAGGAATTCTACGAGTTGCGTCAAACCTGTCTTTGACAACACACCAAATAAACCTTAGTTTGCCTCTGTGATTGAAACTCTGCTATGAAAGAGCACAAAGATGGTTGACCAACCACAATCTTACTGATTTGTGCACTATAAACCTCAACTGCTTCATGGGTCTTCTCATTTGTGCAAATTTGAAAACATGCTATGTAGTTTTTTTTTTTTGTAATATTTTGATATCATTCCTCATAAAGTCAACAAAGGTTAGGCAAGGCAAAATCAAGTAGAGTTGTCAAAAGTGAGGGTCATGGTGAAAACTACATGTAGAGTTGTCACAAATGTTGAAAGGGCAAAAGTAGAATAAACACTTTGAATCCGAAATAGCTCACAAGTCAGCGATGGACATCATCGACTACCTAAGCGCCCAAGCAGTAGTTACAACATGACACAAATCGATCGCCTGATCCTTGCCTGTACCCACACATAAAAAAGAAAAAAACAAAGTGTCATCTTTTATGATCATCCATGGAGAAACAGGTTGAGACCATTATTTATACAAGAAAAAACCCAGTAAAATCCCACAAAAGGGTATGGGGAAAATGTAGGGTCTTCGGAGGATGTGTGTACGCAAACCTCACCCTATTCAGAACGTAGAAAAGTTGTCTGCAAGAGACCCCGGCTCAAACACAATAGCAGAGATATTATTTCTATGGAATAGTTTTTGGGCCTTTGATTATGCACGAAGAAGAAAACGAAGGGGACATGCAAAGATGGCATCTCACCTCTGCAATATACGGCTTCATGAATTATGATGAGTTCTTCAGCTTAGCTAATTCCTCCAACACTGCTTTTAGGGGTTCTTCCAGCTTTTTCTTCTTACCCTAGCTAATATGCATAAGAAGAAATCATTATGAAAAGACCAAAAAAAAACATCAAATTCCACACTTACATAGTTGTTGTGTGCACAGGGTAATTCTTATTTTAATCCGATCAAGCCAAACTAGACTCGAAAGATTTAGGCTATACTTCGACAAAGATAAGAAAATTTTAGATCACGCCTGACAAGAAAGATTCGGACAGACCCGACAAAAAAAACTTTCAGAGACCTACCCAATCGACCAAATCATAAAAAACTCATGTTGAAAAATTTTGAAGGCAAAAATAATACATCGTGAGTGCTCATTTGGCAATCAGTGTTTTATGGTTATAAAACTCATATTTTATACAAAACACCAAGTGTTTTTTCAAGTGAAACCAATGACAATAGTAAAGATGGTACTCCGGGTACATTTTAGATGAAAATTGAAATAGAATAAAATGACGGTGCTTCTACCGTCATTTTAAGATAATCTTCTTTAATTTAAGGCTAAACTCCACCATTGGTCCTTCAACTTTATCTATTGTGCACGATTGGTCCGTCAAGTTTTAAAAGTCCATAAATAGTCCTTCAACTTTATGAGTTATGCACGATTAGTCCTTCAAGTTTTAAAAGTGCATAAATAGTCCTTCAAATACATGTCAGGCCTCCAGATTAGGTCCTTTTGACAGTAAATGTTAAAAGCTAAATGAAATACTAGCTCCATATAATACGGAGTAGTCGTACCTAGTGGAATCTACTCGTATTATATGAGACTAGTATTTCATTTAGTTTTTAACATTTACTGTCAAAAGGATTTCATATGTAGGGTTAACGTGTATTTGAAGGACTTTTTATGCACTTTTAAAACTTGAAGGACCAATCGTGCATAACTCATAAAGTTGAAGGACTATTTATGGACTTTTAAAACTTGAAGGACCAATCGTGCACAATAGATAAAGTTGAAGGACCAATGATGGAGTTTAGCCATAATTTAATGAAATAATATTTGAATAATGTTTTGAATGATTTTGCAGCAATATTTGTAATTTTTGTTACCACGTAGGACCCACCGCATAAGGTTTACCAAACAGGACCTGTCTGTGATACAAGAAAAGAGACTGCAGGTGCTGAGCTGGATAGTTAGTTACGGATGAGTTGGAATCCTAACCAATTCTGTTGAAGATTCTGTTTCAATTCTTCTTCTCTTAATGTTGTATATAAACCCCTGCATCTTGTAATAGCTGGACATGAATGAATAAACACAAATCTCCTTCTTCTCTCTCTATATTCTCTGGTTATTCTCTCGGATTTATTCCCTGGAATATCAATTGNGGATGAGTTGGAATCCTAACCAATTCTGTTGAAGATTCTGTTTCAATTCTTCTTCTCTTAATGTTGTATATAAACCCCTGCATCTTGTAATAGCTGGACATGAATGAATAAACACAAATCTCCTTCTTCTCTCTCTATATTCTCTGGTTATTCTCTCGGATTTATTCCCTGGAATATCAATTGATTCTTCGAAGTTTATGCTTCCTGGAATCTGCATTTTTTGTGCATCATAGTGGTATCAGAGCTGATCGGTCCTTGGATCTTGAAAATGACGAGAAATCGGAATTCAGAGCCGGTTAATGAAGAAGCAGAAGATAAATTTGCAGCAATCCAAACTCAATTGCAGAAATTGATGGAAGGAATGACCATTATCAATGATCGCAGCTCCAAAACGGATCAAGAGTTGGGCAAATTGAAGGAAATCCTGAGGACTATGGAACCGAGGGATAAGGACAGGGAGGAAGAGTCTTCACACGGGAACAAGCGATCTGAAGGTTCTTACCATCCTACATCTTCTGATAACACTCTTACTCGCTTTTCCAGACTTGATTTCCCCAAATTTTCCGATTCCGATCTCAGAACTTGGTTGTATAAAGTGGAGCAAATCTTTGCAATGGATGAAATTCCGTCTGAACAGAAAGTTAAAATTGCCTCCATCCATTTGGAAGGGGAAGCCATTGCTTGGCATAGATCTTACATAAGGAATGTTAATATGGCTAATCAGAGTTGGACAGAATATGTTCTAGCTCTTAATGAAAGATTTGGTGAAGCCTTTGAAGATCCTATGGAGGAACTTAAGAACCTGACCCAAACAGGTAGTGTTAGGGAATATCAGGCTGCTTTTGATAAACTCATGACTATTGTGAATTTGACAAATGAGAATGCAATTAGTTGTTTTATTGGAGGCTTGAAAACTGAGTTAAATAAGGCAGTAAGGATGCATTCTCCGAAGACACTTATGCAGGCTTATAAGATTGCAAAGTTACAGGAGGAAGTATTCTGTGCACAAGCAAGATCATGGGGTCTGAAAAATGGTATGAGGAACCAGGGGAGTATTCTACCTACTCCAGGGCAACCAAAACCAGCAGTAAACCAAAAGCCAAATCTCAATACATATACAAAGAATCAGACAGCAAATCCAGTAGGTCGGAGACTAACAACAGCAGAAATGGATGAAAAAAGGGCCAAAGGGTTGTGTTTCTTTTGTGATGAAAAATATGTATTGGGTCACAAATGTGCACACAAGAAGCAAATATTTCTGGTTGAGGTGGTAGAGGAAGTTTCAGAATTGAATGAAACCTCAGATCTAATAGATGATGAATCCATTGAATTGGAAGAGTTGATGACCATATCTCTACAAGCATTGATGGGTGTCACTGGGTATCAAACCATTAGAGTCACAGGGTATCATAAGAAGCAACCCTTGCAGATTCTAATTAACACTGGAAGCACACACAATTTTATGGATCAAGAAATGGCCAAGCAACTTGATTGTCAAACAAGTGAAATTTTGGAGCAGTCCATTAGTGTAGCTGACGGGAGGAAGGTTCAGACAACTACTGTTTGCAAAGATGTACAGTGGTTGTTACAAGGCACTGCCTTTGTATCTGATTTTTTGCTACTACCACTTGGTAATGTGGATATTGTCTTGGGAGTTCAGTGGTTAAACACTCTGGATAAGATTCTATTTGATTTCAAAAATAGAATTATTGAATTCAAGTTTGAAGGAAGGAAGCATGTGTTGAGAGGGGCCAACAGCCAACTAAAAACAACCAGGGTTAAGACAATGGAGAAGGACTGTGGTAACAAGGCTCAGTTTTTTATGATGACTTTGACTACTAAAGAGAAGGAAGACATTTCTTGCCATCTCATACAAACTGAGCAGTGTGATCAAATTCATCCTCAACTTGCTCAATTAATAGAGCAATTTGGAATTCTTTTTGAAGTACCTGAAGCACTGCCCCCTAATAGAGGAGCATTTGATCATAAGATTCCTTTAAAGGAGGGTTCCAATCCCATAAGTAAGAAGCCTTATAGATATCCAGGAGTCAAGAAGGATATCATTGAGAAGCTGGTGCAAGAAATGTTGGATCAGGGGGTAATTCAGCACAGTACCAGTCCATATGCATCTCCTGTGGTGCTTGTGGGAAAGAAGGATGGTAGTTGGAGGTTATGTGTTGATTACAGGGAGTTAAATCAACAAACAATCAAGGATAAATTCCCCATTCCAATCATTGAAGATCTATTGGATGAGCTAGGAGGGTCTATCTTGTTCTCTAAAATATACCTAAGAGCTGGATATCATCAACTGAGGATGCATGAAAAGGATGTATACAAAACCGCCTTTAAGACTCATGAAGGACACTATGAGTTTTTGGTTATGCCCTTTGGGCTAACAAATGCTCCTTCATCCTTCCAAGCTCTCATGAATTCTGTGTTCAGACATATTTTGAGGAAGTTTGTGTTGGTATTTTTTGATGATATCTTGATTTACAGCAGAAGTGTAGAAGAGCATGTACAACATGTCAAAGCAGTCTTCGAAGTAATGAAGAATTCACAACTGTATGCTAAAAGGTCTAAGTGTGCATTTGAGGTGCCAAAGGTGGAATATTTGGGGCATTATATCAGTTCTGATGGGGTATCTACTGACCCAAAGAAGTTACAGGCAGTCCAACAATGGCCCACCCCCACTAATATAAAACAACTAAGAGGATTCTTGGGTCTAGCTGGATACTACAGAAGATTCATTAAGGGATTTGGTAATATATGCAAACCCCTTCATGAGTTACTGAAGAAGGATGCATTTCGTTGGGGAGAGGCAGCAACTACTGCTTTCGTCCAAATGAAACAAGCATTGGTATCCCCTCCAGTATTAGCCATGCCAGATTTTACCAAGCCATTTGTAATTGAAACGGATGCTAGTGGCAAGGGAATTGGTGCAGTATTAATGCAAGAAGGGCATCCCATTGCTTATATCAGCAGGTCATTAGCACCTAAACATCAAGCCATGTCGGTATATGATAGGGAACTAATGGCTTTGATCTTTGCTGTAACCAAATGGTCTCATTATCTCCTTGGGAAACAATTCATTGTCAGGACAGATCAAAAAACGTTGAAGTATTTGTTGGAGCAGAATATTCATACAGATTTCCAGATAGCAGGAATTACCAAGCTAATGGCGTGTGACTTTGTTATTGAATACAAAAAGGGAACTGACAACAAAGTAGCAGATGCTCTTTCCAGAAACCCCAATGCAGAACTTTTAGCTGTATCTGTTCTAATGCATGATACCATTCTACTCTCACAGATTAAGGACTCTTGGAGGAGTGATACTACTCTGCAGGAAATCATTACCAAGTTACAGGAGCAACCTTATAAGTCCTTTACTTGGATTAATGAACAGTTGAGATGGAAGGGTAGACTGGTGGTGGGTAATGATTCCAAACTAAGGAATACTATCATATCTACATGGCATAATACTACCCAAGGCGGCCATTCTGGTATGGATGCCACTATCAAAAGATTGCAAGCCTTATTCTATTGGAAATCCCTCACTCAGGATGTTAAAACTTATATCAACAAATGTGATGTGTGCTAGAGGAATAAATATGAAGCCACTGCAACTCCTGGACTACTACAACCTTTACCTATTCTTGGAGGAGTTTGGACTGACATTTGCATGGACTTCATTGAAGGTCTACCTAAGGTCCAAGGGAAGGAAGTCATTTTGGTGGTAGTTGACAGACTCAGCAAGTATGGACACTTTATTTGCCTACAACACCCATACACTGCTCAGGTAGTAGCACAAAAATTCTTGGATAACGTCTTCAAACTACATGGTATGCCAGCGTCAATCACGAATGACAGGGACCCCATATTTCTCAGTGACTTTTGGCAAGAGTTATTCTCACAAATGGGAGTTCAGCTGCAAAGATCCACTGCATATCACCCACAAACTGATGGGCAAACAGAAGTCCTGAATAGAACTTTGGAGACATACCTTAGATGTTTTTGTTCTGATAGTCCTTTTACGTGGGTGTCCTATTTACCTTTAGCAGAATGGTGGTACAATACCACTTACCATACCGCCTTCCGATGTACACCTTATGAGGTTTTGTATGGACAAAAACCACCTATTCACCTTCCTTACTTACCAGGAGAATCAAATTCTGAAGTGGTAGACAGATCTCTTCAAGCTAGAGAAGCTACTATCCAGCTCCTAAGGTATCACATTCAAAGGGCACAAAAAAGAATGAAGGATCTGGTGGATAAACATAGAACAGACAGAGAATTTGAAGTAGGAGACTGGGTTTATCTCAAACTTCAACCCTACAGGCAGTTTTCAGTAGCTACAAGACATTTCAATAAACTGGCTGCTAAGTATTATGGTCCCTACTTAGTAGACGCCAAGGTGGGTGCAGTGGCATACAAATTACTAATCCCTGCCCAGGCTGCCATACACCACACCTTCCATGTTTCACAACCAAAGAAGTGTCATGAGGTGCCCTCAATCATCAATCATCCTCCTACCCTTCACTTATCCAGTCCAAATTGTCCCGTGCCACTTCAAATTTTGGAACGCAGGTTGGTTAAGAAGGGTAACAAAGCTGTGGTCCAGGTGAGAGTTGAATGGATGGGATTAGGTGCTGATCACACTACTTGGGAGTATTTGACAGAACTCCAACATCGCTTCCCAACTTTTCAGACTTGAGGACAAGTCTGTAATAAAGGAAGGGGTATTGATACAAGAAAAGAGACTGCAGGTGCTGAGCTGGATAGTTAGTTACGGATGAGTTGGAATCCTAACCAATTCTGTTGAAGATTCTGTTTCAATTCTTCTTCTCTTAATGTTGTATATAAACCCCTGCATCTTGTAATAGCTGGACATGAATGAATAAACACAAATCTCCTTCTTCTCTCTCTATATTCTCTGGTTATTCTCTCGGATTTATTCCCTGGAATATCAATTGATTCTTCGAAGTTTATGCTTCCTGGAATCTGCATTTTTNGGTATTGATACAAGAAAAGAGACTGCAGGTGCTGAGCTGGATAGTTAGTTACGGATGAGTTGGAATCCTAACCAATTCTGTTGAAGATTCTGTTTCAATTCTTCTTCTCTTAATGTTGTATATAAACCCCTGCATCTTGTAATAGCTGGACATGAATGAATAAACACAAATCTCCTTCTTCTCTCTCTATATTCTCTGGTTATTCTCTCGGATTTATTCCCTGGAATATCAATTGATTCTTCGAAGTTTATGCTTCCTGGAATCTGCATTTTTTGTGCATCAGTCTGAATTTCAATTATTAATATTGCACATACCTCGCTGTCACATACACCATGCTTCTTCAAAGATCTGGTCTGAGTTAACGGCACAAATCATTTTAGGTGCTATTGGAACAAGAAAAAAGTATGTTCTCGTACGGAATTCATTTGTCTTATAACATATATAAAAGGATACTGAAGTGCTTGTTTAATAGTCTCTGGTAGGGGTGTATACAAATCGAATCGAAGCAAATATATCACTATTCGATTCGTATTCGATTAAAGTGATATGTATTCGAATTCGGATTCGTATATAATTCGAATTTTAAAAATCATTCGTATTCGATTCGATAGATATTTGACGTATTTGAATTCGTATTCGAATATTTGAATTCTAAAATATTAGTAATTTTTTTCTTAAAATAGATTTCTTAAAGACATTAAATTATTATTTTATTATAATGTAAAATGTAGTAAAAATATGTTAGAATATATAAATTTATTTATAAATTATAATATTGGAATTTATATAAATTTATATGTACACAAATATTTAATATATTAGAATATATATAAATTTATTTATAAATTATAATATTCGAATAATTCGAATAATAGACGAATCGAATCTATTAATATTTGTATTCGAATTCGAATATAGCGAATACGAATCATCCTTTTCGAATACGAATCACGAATCGAATAGTATGCACTCCTAGTCTCTGGGCTCTCACAAACTTGGTGTCTCAGTGATCTATCAGCCCAAAAACATAAACAAACAAAAAAAATTACAAAAAAAAAATAAATAAAATAAAACCATAACACTTAGAGCCTCTTAGGGGAAAGTACTGATTCACACTACAAAATATTGTTATAAAATTGATTATAAGAAAGTTAAAAATTTTTGGTTTCAATGTAAAGAACAGTGCATGACACAGAGTATTTGACTATGGATCAAGTAGGGAAATGCATGGTCACAAGAATGTGATTTAATAAGCTTTTACCAACCAATCGGAGACATAACAGAAAATGAAAAAATCATCTTCTACTGAAAAAAATAGCAAAAGAAATAACATGCTACCCACACAGGAAGCTTTATAGTTGGATCTTCAGACAGTATAACCATTTGCTCCTGGATTCCTTTTAAGATTTCAGCAGCTTCACAGTCCATCAGGCATTCAGTATTCTCATAAATTTCTGCATATTTATATATAAAGAGCTTAAAGACTAACTCTTCAAAATAATAACGGCATAAAGAGGGGAAGATGAACATAAGAAAACACAGAAAAGAGAAGTGAAAAGGTAAATATTTAAGAGTTGATATGAAACAATATATGTAGTCTTCTGTCCATCTGATATATATTAGAACTAAAAATGCATCTTTGAGCTAAGATGGAAAAACAAACCTTGCTCAACTCTGAGCTCCAAGGGAAGAGGAACTTTTGAAGTTTGGCCTTTTCCACTTTCTCCACCTTTGCTTCCTTTTCACAATCACAAAATATATTTGCACCAAAAATGAAAAAAAAAAATTGAAACAGAAAAAATTTATTCCATGAAAACCCAAAAAATTGGGTATTGTGTAATGCTTGTAAGAGCCTAACCTTTAGAAAATGGTGTATCCGCTTTGCCATTAGATCTCGCGAAAGTTCCATCAGGTGAATCTAGATTTATTGTACATATATACAATATTGAGAAACAATCTTTCTACTCTCAAACAATGATAGAACCATAATAAGGAAAAAATGAAATTAAAAATTAAAATTGACCCAACCTTCAGAACCAAATTGAACTTTCCTTCCTTTCTTTTTCCCTGCACTGTCATCCTCCCCTTTTGCAAATGTAGAACAATTTTAAAAGCTTTACAATAAACAGTAACTAGTCCATTAACCATACATATGCTGCTTTAAGAGGTAAACACAATATATGAATTGTTTTATCCATTAACTAAACACCTTAAAGCAATATACTCTCCGCTCATTACGTTGAACGAATTTACTCCTTATAGTATATGTGAGGCCTCTGGATGTGTTACCCACACCCTACTTTTGATGGTAATGGCTGGTTATATTTGGTATTATTTTAAAGGAAAAGTATATGTTCTGATGGGCATATTGGTGTATAGTGATTGAGGCCATATATCCGATCCAATAGTGTTTAGGTCTAGGCCACCGAAGCCCACATACTAGGATTACTAGGTAAGAAGATGATCCCATGTGAAATAGATTGGGCTAACCCGACCCAGAAGCGAGGCCCAAAGTCTCCCATGTGGCGGGTGAAGGTAGGCGCTATGATTAGAAGACAAGAGGTGATCACCTATGACCTCCCCACGTTCCCCATGATCTTCCTTCCAAGATCATCCATGTCCTCCATGGACGCGGGGTGGTTTCTTGCAAATGGTTACCTCTTGATCTCTCTCTATATATACCTTAATATCTCTATAAATGGCATTATATTGATCCATCTCTCATCTTATCATATTACGAATTATAACCACTGCTTCATATTATATTACATAATAATTATGGTGCATTATCCATGACTTTATTTATTTTTATTCAGAAACATACAAATGCAAATTGATGCATTCTTCAAGCAAAACACCCATCACAGCGCAACAACAGACTGTTCATATTTTAAAAATGAACAAACCAGGAATCATAGAAACACATGCACAAAATACAAAACCCTAATTGCAGAAAAAGAAGAACACGAAGGGGTTAATTACCAGTTTTGAGAGCAGATTTTCCTCCATTACTAAACTCCGGTCCTTTCCCTCCCTTTTCTGACATCGTCCCTCCCTGCAAAACACATAAACACAGAGCACACACATTACGCCATAAAAACTAAGTCTCGTTAAACTGAGAAAGAACGAAATTGAACCCTTTTGGCGATTTTATTTGGGGTAATAAACCCAAAAGAAAAATATTTTCTTCCCTAAATAAAAAAAATCGCGAACAAGATTACCTATAATCCAAAGATATGAGATTATAGTCTTAGGTTCAGAAATCTTGAGTGAATAGAGAGGACAAGAGGAGCTTCAGTATATGTGTGGACTCTGGAGAGCCAGTAGAGAAAGGCGACTGTAGAAGTGAGAAGGAATGTAGAGGCTAGAGACATGTGTACCCCCAACTATGAAGTATGAAGTGCATTTGCTTAAATGGGGTTTAATTGCCTCAAAAATATATTCGACCCTTGTAACTTTTGGAAATATGTTAGAGGGCCCAACACTACCTTCCCTTCTGGGTGAGCACCGTACATGATAGTATGATACTATCGAAATTTATCATAGATTGCATTTTTTAAAATAATATGAAGTATGATTTTTTTTTTGAAAATCAATGGATTAATATCAATGCAAATCAGAGCACAATGCTTCAGAAATAAATACCGGCACTTCGAAAAATTAGTCTCAGAATCAGAGTTCGTGGCAACATATGAGCCACCTGATTCGCTGATTTCCTAACAATTGTTCAGTGTATTTGTCCAGTTTGACTTTTTTGAGTCAAATCGGACAAACTTTGAGCTTCAATAAAATAAAAATGAGTAAATTCCATAAAAGGTCCTCAGTTATAGGTCGTTTTACATATTTAGTCCCTATATATCAAATATTACTTATTTAGTCCCCAATTATTATATTCATTTTCACGAATAGTCCTTTTTTAACATTTCCGTTAAGAACGTGGATAAAATTGTAAATTCACACTTCTTTCTCTCCTCAATTAAGCTTCTTCCCTCCCCTCGCACTCCTTTCCAAAATCTGTCGCTGAGTTTGAAGCTCAGAACCCAAATTTAAAATTATCACTCTTCTCTCAATTGTTTGTCGAATTGATGGAACCCAAATGTGAAACCCAGTAACCTTCATGGATGAGTTTTAATGTTTATTTTCTTTGCAATTTCTTGAGACTAACCGATAAAACTCGTCCATAAAGCTTATTGGTTTTGATTTTAGAGAGGGGTGATCATTTCAGTTTTGGGTTTAGAGCTTCAAACTCAGCGACGAGTTTGAGAAAGAGTACGAAAGGAAGGATGAAACTTAATTGAGGAGAGAAGGAAGTGTGAATTTACAATTTTATCTACGTTTTTAACAGAAATGTTAACAAAGGACCATTTGTGGAAATGAATATAATAATTAGGGACTAAATAAGTAATATTTGATATGTAGGGACTAAATATGTAAAACGACCTATAACTAGGGACCTTTTATGGAATTTACTCAATAAAAATCGTAATTTATTTTAACATAAAAATGACTTTATTGGATTTATCGTATTGAGAACTTTCAAAATTGTATTTCATTATGCTAATATATATGCAATATAAATTGAGAGTAATTGGAGTTCAAAGTTTGTCCAGTTTGACTCGAAAAAGTCAAACTGAAAAAATACACTGGGACGGAGGTAGTACTAATAAATCAATAGTATCGCATAATAAATTTAGTCAATTTATGATATACTTCGTAGTTATTTTATTATTTAACACGGACGTACATAAAAAATAACACTTATATAATTGACTAATTGTTACATTCTAAAGTTTTTCCTCCTAAAGTTTTCGGCGCGACCTTTTCAGTTAAGATTCTACTTCGTACAATCGTACTTCCTCTATTTCTATTTAACTATCCATTTCACTTTGTGTGTCAAATATTTGAATAATTATATATAAAAATATATAACGAATTAAAATATATAGAGTAAAAGTTATTACCAAATTGTTGGTATTAAAAAAATACTTTAAATGTATTATTTTTAATATTTTTTGCTAATATATTTGAAGAGACGATGTTGGTCAAACTTTAAGTTCGAAGACGATAAAATACAAAAATACTTTAACTTAAGTTATAAAATACGGAGGAAAAGATTTGTACATGAAAGTAGTTGCATGGGTTGCACCTATAATTTAAGCATGTTATATCAGTAATTCTTTTTCTCCAAGTTCATTTGATAAATGAAATATTAATAAATTTGATCAATTTCGGATCTAATCGATTTCGAGTCTAATCGATTTCGGGTTTAATCAGTTCGGGTTTAATCGGTTCAGGTTAAGTCGGATTCGGAGCTGAATCGGGTCTGAATACATTTAGTTCGGTTTCGGTTTGGTTCGGATCATTTCGGGTGTTCGGTTCTATTTCGGTTCTTTAGTTTTTGGGTCAATTCGGGTTTGCTTTCGGGTTATTCGATTCGGGTTATCGGGTCCGGTTCAGTTTTGCCAGGTCTAGCGTTAATCACACGCTTATTAATATACCTTTTGCAGCTTGATGAAGATGTCATGGATAGATGAAAAGGTTGATTAGATGAAAAGGTTGATTGGCTGATGAAGAGTTTGATTGACTGATGTCCAAGATTCAAATTTTGTTACCGATGGCTATAGCGGGAATAATTATTTAGACTTTCAATAGATTAATAATATAAAAAATAATGTCTAGAAAAATGTGTGATATACGAGTTTAGATGAATCTGCACTTGCACTGGACGAGCGTGTGATTAACATACTCCCTAAGGAATACGAGTTTAGATAAATCTGTACTTGCACTAGGGGTATTTATAGTCGATTTCTTTTAAATTGACCGACGGCCATAATTTGGACTGTTGTGGGAAGGGGGTAATGTTCAAATTGCAGCAAAGGATGCGTCAAACCTTTAACTCAACTGCGTTAACACCTTGATGAAGTAATAGAGGATGCGGATCACCTATTTTGTAAGTGTGCTATCACAGTGGGTTGGCTTTAAGCTAGAAGCCATAACTGTCATTGATATGGGTCAAAAATTGAGCAAGATTAATTCCAAAATATGGAGGAGGTATTGATTGCCACTTTTACAGCTTGTTGTTACTCCGTGTGGAAGGTGAGGAACAAATATCTTCATACAGAGGAGTTCCCCGACCTTCTAGATTGGTCTTGTTTGGATGTTGGCTGTCAGCTGTTGGCAGTTCATGCCAGCTGTTGTGAATGGTTGTTTAATTTAGCTGGTTTGACTGACAGAATGAATTGGCTGATCGTTAAAAATGTTTGGTAAAATTAGCTGTTTGAAAATAGTTTTTCTTATATATATATATATATATATATATATATATATATATATATATATATATATATATAGACACACACACACAATATTTATTTTTCATTTTTTTACATGTAAAATTAAATCTTTGCTATATGGAGTATTAAATTTTAATTTCATTTAATTCATAATAAATTATTAATATAAATTTTTTTAATGATTTTTGCTTTTTATTTTCTCATTTCATTTTTTGAAATTTTTAATTTTTAAATTTTATTTTTTTTAGTATTTAAATTTTTAACTTTTATTTTTATTTTTATTTTTTACATATATTATAAAATATATTTCAACAAAAATGATTTTTAAAAAATTATTTTTCGTAACCGCCAAGTCCAAATGCTACTCCCTTTGGCATTTCAGATTTTGGCTTTTTGGATCAAAATGCCAAGTGAAAAAGCCATTAGCCAAACAATGGTTTTGGCGGTTCGCTTGGTCAAAAAAGCCAAAGTCAGTCAAAGATGCCAAAAGCTATCCGAAATGTTGTTTTTCAAACACGGCCTAAGTCTCACGTGAACATTTATATTAGGGAGAAAGTTGGGTTGTGACATGTTCTTATTGATCTTTGTTTAATATAATAATTGATGATTTTGGTTGTTTGTATGACATCACTTTTGTTTTAAAAAAGAAAAATACTTCCCCCGTCCTAAAACTTTCTTCCCATAACACTATTCCAACTTTACGGGAATTTATATTTATTTGTGTTTTTTCATGGCCTATATGATAAAATAAAATATTCTTGTCACCTCTTGTTTTGTTTAACTTTTGATGTAGTTTTTAAATATGTATGTTTTATTTTTTATTTCTATACAAATATTTAAATAAAATAGATTGAAAAAACTTGGGATTTTTTTTCGTTTTGCGTAACGGAAAGAAAGATATAGGACGGAGGGAGTAAATACGGAGTATGTAGTCTAATACATTTAAGGTCAATATGTGAAGATGGATAATACTTATCTTAAAAAATTTATTTAGATTTTCAAAGATAAATTATCTAAGGAGTATTTCCAAAGGTTGACTTTGAATCCACAACAACATACCGTTAGGTTGAGCGATTTCTTCATCACTTAGGCCATTTTCAAAGACGAGAAAATTCTGGTTAAAGATACGGTGCGGGAAACGGATCTCCTCTTCAATGAGTACTCGCAGTTGAAAGGACAAGTGAAGAAGAAGAACCCGCTGCCCCCAGATCCTTCACTACGCGAATAGAGGAGAAATGGCGAGAGAGAGAACTAATCGGAACGAATAGAAGAAAGAAAAGAGAGTGCAAAACCCTAGTCTGATCGCCACCGCCGCCCGCCAGACTCCACCGCCGCGCCGCCATATCTGGGTCGCTTCCACTCTCCTCCCCAAATCTCGAATCGAAAAGGTAAGTAGAAGTAATTATAATTAGTTTTGAATATCAGTAATTAGTGTGTGATTTCCTTGTATTTTCTTTGAATATTTTGCTAGTTTTTACGAATTCAATTGGTCATTCATTTTATCTACTTTAAATTGATTTACTACAGGCAATTCATAAGTTCTTAAGTTAATATTTACTTCTTAAATTGTTATGAACCACTTGTGAAATTCATATTAATCTTTTAAATTAGAATTTACAATGCAAAGATGTTTCAAAAACATCCAAGATTTAAATAGCCCGATTTGTCGAGTTGATGTGGCCAGCACAGAGTTGTCTAGCTTGTCTTAAAATGGATGATTTTTTCCCCAAAAGAATGTTCAATGTGTAGAACTTGTGACTCTAGAAAATCAACTAATAAGAATCATGTTTTGGTTGTTTGCTTATACGGTAGATTCGTTGGTTTGAAGGGTATTTTTGATCTCCCAAAGGAAATGGTTACACATGGTGAAGAATGAGCCGCGGAGTAAATTATGTGATCAATGGTTAAACGATTGTTCAGTAATATACTCCTTATGTTGAGAGACATGTCTATTCCACCATTAATGATGATGTAAGCATAGATTACTTTCAATATATGAAAGCTAGATTAGTCCATTTACATAGTACGTAGTAATGTATTTTTTTTAGTGCTATTGACTCGATTACAATGTAATATATGTTCTTACTTTTCTCAATCAAATGATGCACATGGAGTCAACGCCTCCGCCTCTGCTGTGGTTTGAACCTCAGTGAACCTCTCCCATGAATCCTGGGGAGTGGGCTTCGTACACTCAAGCAAGGGGAGAAGTTCTATGTAGCAAAAGAATCATTTTTTTATGGTTTATTGCTAGAAATAATGAACTAGCTCATGTCGGAGACTCGAAGGTCTGGACCCTGTCGTTTTTGTTTATTGCCTCTGTAATGCAACATCTTGGTCATAACCGTTGAGTCGTTGACCCACTCTAATTGGTTGCAGGGTTCAAGAGAGCATGGAAACGAACGAAGCAACGCGGGTTCTAGACAAGTTCATAGTTGGGCCAGTGCCTACCCTAATTTACGTTCCCAACTTCATTTCAGACGTGGAAGAAGAACAGCTTGTGAAGAACATTTATGGAGCTCCCGTTTCCAAATGGAAGTCGTTACAAAACAGGAGGCTACAGAACTGGGGAGGCGTTGTACATGAGAAGGGGCTTATAGCCCAAGACTTGCCTCATTGGCTCACCCGAATCACTCGGAGGGTCCAAGACGAATCCGGAGGCCTGTTTCCTTCTGCCATTAATCATGTCCTCATCAACGAATACCTCCCTGATCAAGGCATAATGCCACACCAGGATGGACCTGCTTATTACCCGCTCGTATCCATTCTCTCTCTCGGGTCACCCGTTGTGATGGATTTCGACCCGCACCCGAATCTGAAACGCAGCACGGACACAGCTTCTCCTTCTTCTTCTTTTTCCGTTTTGCTGAGCCCCCGCAGTCTTTTGATTTTCATGGACAAGGCGTACTCTGAATACTTGCACAGCATTAAAGACAGTGCCGTGCACCAATGTAGCACGGCTGTGAATGTGACCAAAAATGGTGCTAGAGATGGCGACGGTCCTTTGGGTAACTACAGGCAGCAAGCGGGCGGTGGAGAGGGTGATACCGGTGACACGGTTGTTATCCGACGGACTAATACCAGACTATCTCTCACCTGCAGGCTTGTGACCAAAGTTCACAAGAATTTGTTAAGGCTTTAGAAATTGTGAACCTTTTTTTGGGTTAAGCAATGGATATGTTAAGGTTATTTATGCATATTAGGTTTCATTGTACCATGTAGATCAAAGTTTATTTTACTCTGTAATAGTCCCCTTGTCCCTGAATATTTGCTCATTGTTGACTTTTTTGGGTCAAAATTGGCAAATTTTTACCACAAACTAAATTAAAGTAATATTAGATATTGATATAAAAATAGTTTTATTAGATTCATTTTATAAAAATTTTTAAAATATTATTTTATCTAGTTAATGTACAATACATATTTTATTTAATTATATGTCAAATGTTGAAAATGATTGATTGTAAAAAGTTAAAATTGGACAAATACTTAGATATGAAAGTAGGATACATTGCCACTTAAACGTTGACTAAAGAGTATAGTCTGCCTTATATCAACAAAATACGGAATACTTCTTTTTCGTTCCATATGACACTTTATGGCTTGATTTTTACGGAGTTTATGAAATAGAAAACGTGTATGGTTAGAATTTGTTTAGATGAGAAAGAAATAGTGTGGGTCACATTTCTATTACGGAGCACTGAAATAGAAAATAAAATAAGTGTAAAGTTTTTTTTGAGATATTTAATGAAATTATAGCATTTTATGAGAAAATGTAAGCTTTGTTGTCCTCAACTTATTCTTATTACTTATTACTTATTACTTTTTTATTGGAATCAGTTCTAATCAAATCAAATTTGATTAAATTAGACCAGAACTTATTCCAATCAGATCCGAATCATTCAGATCAGGTAAAGAGAAATTAACGTAGTACTGTATTATGTAATTGGCATTTTGGTTGGGGAAAAAATGCTATGTAAATGAAAGTTAAGATGGTATATCACCAAAAGAGAGTGGAAATGAATGAATGTATGCACAAAATAAATAAATATATTAAGGTTAATCTTATACTCTTTACCAATTTATTAGTGTAAGATTATTACACCAATTCAATTAGAAGACCTATGGTGTTCCAATTGATTGTGCTTACCTCCTAGAAAAACTCTCAACCTGGTCCCGATCCCCGACACCCTCCCATTGCGCCACCCACTGCACATCTTCCAATTGCATCGCCCAAATTTTGGTAACAAATTTGACCAAACTCAACAAACATTTGGGTGATGCAATTGAAGGGGGAGGGGGGGGGGAGGTGCACGAGTGTGTTAGGGAAGGGTGGCGTTAGAGATTAGGAGAGGGAATAATCAATTTTACGATTAGAACATAGAAGTTCCAATTGAATTGGTGCAAGATTATCCTCTCTCTCATATATTCCTTGTGACAATGCATTTGCTTAACTTAACTTTTTTTAATGTTATTGACTGTATTAGACTGTAGTATCTGTTCATACATTTCTCAATATAATGACGTACAAAAAGTCAATGACTCTGCATCCGTTGGAGAACAAATCTGGGTGAATTTCCTCATTAATCCTGGAAAATGAAGTAATGAACTTTCTACCACTCAAGCTAGGGGAAAGTTTACTTAATTTAACTTTTATAACTAAACTAAACAAACTTAAATTATCAATTAAATATAATTATACTTTTATTACATATTAAAATAAAATGACATATTAAAATTTCTCTAGTAAAATATTTTCAAAAAACTATGTAATTATTTTATTTTTTTAAAAAATAAAATATTCCCTCAGTCTCATTTTTTTTATCTAGTTTCATTTTTTTGTCAAACTGGATAAATTTGTTCGTCACTTAAACAAATATTAATAAAATAAATTAACTTTTTTGAAATATCTTACAAAATATTTTTTTGCTAATGTTTAACAAAACTTTAATTTAATTGGTGATAGAAAATTTGTCTATTTGGACTGCAAAAGTGTGTACCAAAAAATAGAGTTGAAGGCTGAGGTCCAAATCATTTTGCCTCCGTACCAAAATGAATCTGGTTTCTGAGTAATGTTGCACTCCAAAAAAATCATGAAAATGAGCAAGAAAAAAGACTTCCTCTTCCTTGACACAAGACATTTCTATCAAATCACAAATGTTCTAAAAAAGAGGGAGGAAAAAAACAAAAAATAAAAATAAAAGCAAAAAAAAAAAACTTTTCACATTATCATGGTGGTACAAGTAATATAAGAGTCCCCCAAGAACAATTACCTTTTAGCCCTCAAAGCAGATGACATTCTGGTGCCCATGTGAGGGAAATACACAGCCTGACCTCATATTAATGGTGGCATTGTTTCCTGTTTCTTCCCTCTTCACAGACTGATGGTTGAAGTTCATATCGCCAACGCCTGCCGGGGTGGAAGAATAATATGGCAAGGTACAACAACAGTTCAATTTTACGCGCGAATTCTAAGAAATGCACCCAAGAAAATGCTTACTCCTAGCCGAACAAATCATCCGTGTCGTCATCCTCTGTGTTGATGATAGTTTTACTACTTGTAGACGAAGCATGGGATTCTTCCCCTTTTGAATCGCTATTAGTCGAATAAGCCCAAGAGGATCCGACTTTACCAGAAACAGATTCTCCGTAGAGATCATCATATATTCCTCCTTTTGGGGGGTTCTTAACCTTGTTCAACACTTGTTGAAGCTTTTCCGTGATGCCGGTATGGGAAGCAGTTGAATCCTTTGCGGCGGGGGCAGACTGCTCCTTCCCTTTGGGCACAACGGTAATTTGCACAAGAGATTCATATTTTCCAACAAGACTTCCTTCTTTGACCCCTACTGGCCCCGGTTCGGTTTCCACATCCATTCCATCTGAGACACCAACAATTTCAGCCAGTTTTCCTCCAACCTGGTCCCTGAACGCCACTCTAGGTCTCTTTACTCTCTTGGCAGCTCTTCCAAGGGGTGAATTGTCATCTTTGCCTCTACATGATTTTGAAATTTTAGATGATGTGCCCGGTTTTGTGAGCCCGAAACGGTTTAGAAATGTGTTGTAGGCCACAACAGCTTCCTCGTCTGTCGGGTCAGGTGGTGGGGGCAGATTGATTTCTTCGGGCTGTGGAGGAGGTGGAAAGAGAGCAGAGTTGTTCTTTCTCAAAATATATGTCCTTGTTGAAGCAGCAAACTTCAAAGACTGTCCAGCCTCAAGTTCTACGGGGGAGTCCTTTGTAAGCCTCTCATTTGCAACAAATGTGCCATGTGCAGATCCCAAATCAATCACGTATATGCTGAAGAAGAAAACATTAAGGGGGTCAACCCTGCACAAATTTGGCGACTTGGCAGAAGGAGAAGAATTTTTTCCCCCAATACCTAAACAAAGTCAGAGGAGTACAAAATGAAAAGGGCCAGTAGTGCTACATTCTGACCACAAAGTAAAGCGCATAATCTATAGAGTAAATGCCATAAATGGTCCCTAATTACAGTTGATTTTCCATATTTGATGCCCAATTCTAAAATATTGCATAAATGCTCCTCAATCTTTGAAAATTATTCCATATTTACTCCTTTAGGGACTATATGTGGAAAAAATCTGTTGTCATATTTGACCTAAAGGACTATTTATGGAATAGTTTTTAAAAATTGAGGACCATTTATGTAATATCTTAGAATTAGTGACTAAACAAGGAAAATCACTTGTAATTAGGGACCCATTTATAGAATTTACTACTCCGTATAATCTAAATTACTTAGATTTAGCCTGTAATGGTTCTTTACACTTTTGCAGTTCAGTTTTCTTTTTTGAGTACTATTGATTCTATTACAATGTGGTTTCGTTCATACATACTTTGTCAATCTACTAAAACACAAATAGTCAACATCTCCATTGGGGTTCGAACCTGGTTGAGCTTCCCATCCAGAATTCTTGGGGGTTAGTTCTCATGATATATATCTACAAACACATACCAGATTACTTGATGAATTTATTTGTTTACTCTATCCTTTCAATACTTTTCCTCACTAAAAAAGCAAAAAGAAAGACTTACGATGTTCAAATATAAGAGAGCATTGACTAATTTTTCCCATAGAAATTTAGATCTCATATGTTGCTAAAATTTATGAGTCTGAATCTCATATTTTGCTTTGTAGGGCTTAGTCTATATCTAGAAAACTGATGCAGAGTATATATTTCAAATTGTTATAACGATCTATCAAAATGGAACCTAAATCACAAATCCAGCAGTAAGGCATGAACTGGTCAAACCCATGGATCGGTTGGCACCCAATAGTATGATATCACCAATATCTTAGCTAATCTAAGCTCACTGTCACTAATGGCAAAATATTGCTATAAATTATAATGACATCACCATTCTTTCTCATGTGGAGGAAATAAAGATCATGTTAAAGCACTCTCAATCCATTTCTCCGATATATGTGGGCAGAACTCAGCTAGATACTAGCAGTTTTGTGGATGCTTCAACATTGGAAACTAGTGAATCAAAACACGAAAGGGGACTACAACAGCTTTAAAGATATTCTGAGTCTTGATAGTCATCAACAACTTTCTCTTTAATATCTGTTTTTCCACCATTTGTGAGGGAAATAATATGAAGATGGTCCAAGACTCCAAATCCTTCATTTATGATTTATAAAAGATTGTTCTTGGTAAGCTAAGCATTACTAAACACAAAAGAATAACGCGCAATAAATAGCACATGGAAGAAATCACAAACCTTCCATTTTTGTGCGGGACAACAACAGCGTGCTGGCGTGATACAGACTGATGATCAAGAACAATATCACAAGTATAAAATTGGCGCCCAAAAATGTGCCTACGCTTATCCAGATTAATCTTATCAAGCACTTCTCCATCTTTGATGACTTCAAGATAATAAACGCCTGGTCTTGGCTCAATAGCCCAATCAGGTGGCTGCCATGTTGATTGGCCTCCTCCAACTTGGGTCACTTGTTGAGTTGGTACTGGAGGAAGCACATTAGTCTCTGCTGGTTTCAGTGAAGATGGGAGCTGATTTGGGTGTTGAGTTTGCTGGTATGATATTTGGGGCTGAGAATATGTTGCTGGAGATTGAATAGCTGCTTTTGTAGCTGGTTGTATATTTGTCTTAGAAGCTGAAGAATTTGCTCCTACTGAAAATGGTTCTAAGGTTTGAGCTTTCTTAAAGCGATCAAGACCCGCTCTCCCATACATTTCAGTTTGTGATATCTTCAGGGAAAAAAAGTCTGCCACCAGTCCTGAATGTTAGGTAATTGACACAATGTCCACTTAGTATTGCATTAATCTCACTAGCAAACACACACACACACACAACCTTTCCAATAAATACAAACCCAGCCATCTTTAACTTGTGTTCTAAGCATAGACCATTACAATGGCTCAATGAATAAACATTACATTGTGTTAAATATTTATAATGAAGTCAGGCGTGAAAATGGAATGAGAGAAACACACAAAAAAGGACCATGCATAGAATTCTATCCGTATCCTCGAAGCCGAGGAATGTAATTTTCTCAGAGTTCTACGAACCATTTCAAGTATCAACACACTCTACATAAGCTTGATACAGATTACAACTTCTTAAATGCTAAAACAAGTGTTAGAAGAAAAAAAAAACAGGAACCTTCTTGTCCGAATGAAGTTGATAAACAAACATGTAGGGATTTATAAAACAATTACAACAACAACAACAACCCAGTTAAATCCCACAAGAGTAGGGTCTAGGGAGGGTGTGTGTACGCAGACCTTGCCCCTACTCGAAAGTAGAGAGGCTGTTTCCAAAGAGACCCCCGGCTCAACATCGAAAGTTGCAGTGTTTGACTAACTGCTACTTCATTAATTAAAGAAGCGCAGATAGTTTAGAGATCCATTTTGATTTATTCCATCACACCCCAAAGCCAAAAATGGTGAAATTTTGACTCCATCGGAGATGATGGAAAATTATAAAACAATTACGTATAATAAAATTTGCAAACATTCATTCATAGAACTTGAATACAAATAGTACTAAGTTGAGAAGTTGACATATGAATGTGACAAGATTCAAGCAGAATAAGTAAATCTGAGGACAAATATCAATGCTCAAACCATAGAAAAAAGGGCACATTGATTCCGAGATTATATTTACGAAATACACAATTGATATAAAACTGAAAGCAAATTAACAATCGAGCAAAGGAAGATTGAGATTATAAAAATCAAATTAACAATCGAGTAATTTCGAGTGAATCGACTCGGAAAGTTGCAGGAATTCGAGTGCAGAGGGAACGCTGGTTACCTTTGCAAATGAAGATTCGACAGTGCGTTTTTCCTTTTTTTCGTTTTAAATCACTCCTTAGGTTTTTGAAATCCCTGATTAGGGTTTATCTGCAGCTGAAACTCGCAAGCAAATGGATTGTGTTGAACACATAAAAGAGGTGGAGATTATAAGTGGAACAGAGATGACATTCCCAATCTTCATGTTCTTGCAGCATTGGCACGAACCCAGTTAAATCGTCCATTAATTAATCATAATTTACCTCGAATGATATTTAAATAATTTTACTAAAGCTATTTTACACTTAAATTTACAAAAAAAAAGGATAATTCACTTCATTAACTCATGTTCTTTTTAACTTATTTTTACTCCGTATTACTTATTACTTTTTATTTATCAAAATCAGTTCAGAATAAACCAGATTAGATCAGAAACAGTTTTAAATATAACTTTATTAAGATCAGATCAGAACTTATTCCAATCAGATTACAATCATTCACATAGATGAAGTGACCATGATTTTACTCTCAGAGTCTCAGATTTGCCTAGCGCAAAAAATGTGGGCTTGGGCTTATGTTTTAGCATCCGACCCGGTCCGTAAATTTTGGCTACCTGCAAGTGTTGCAGGCCGGGTATGGATTGTGTTGTTAAAGCCCGCGGGCAGCCCGGCCCGGCCCGATCCCTATAAATAATTAATATGAAAGTATATAAATAATACGTAGTTGTCAGAGTAGTATAAAATACATACCATTTTATACAGAATATGATTACTTAAAAAATATACAAAATATAATTCATTAGTCACTTTTTACTCATGTGTTTACTAGAATTTTAGTGGAAAGTATGTACTCTAGTTTAAACTCTGAGATATATATACACTGTACCATTTTTTGTTTGCTAAAATTTACACACCGTATATACGGAGTATTAATGTTTAAAATTTATGTTCTTTCGAAATAGTGTAAAAAAAGTTTTTTTACATGTTCATAATTTATTATTAATGCGGGCTGGGTCGGCCCAAAACCCAAGCATATTTTTGTGGGCCAGGCTCGGGTTTTAGGCCTGAAATGCGGGCCGGTCTAGGCTCGGGCCTTAGAAACTCTTATAATGTAACCTCTCGGTCCGACCCAAAACCCGACTGGGCCCGAACATTGATCAGGTCTACTAGTTATACCATATTACTCTCAGATTCTCTTTATCACGTCAATACTGATAGAAATCCCCAAATTCCAAGTCAATACTCTAAAATTACTTAATCTGCTTCAGACCTAATTATGTGATATATTTTTACTGAACTGACATCTGAACCAATGAGTTGACAATACGTGTTTAGGAATAAAATCACATTAGACGTTATTCGAATTTTTTGAATAACTAAATAAAGATTAATAACAGTTTTGAAAACAGACGATTTCACCAGGTTCAATTAAGTTTTCTTAATCAAGTTATTCAGAAAAGTCCAAATAAAGTTCAGTGTATAGTAATTCCATGACTTTGGAAGTGTTACCAACTCAATATATCTTATTTCATGTCATTCAAAATATTTTCACATAATTAAGTCTAAAGTTGTTTGAGTTGAGCTAGAGTAGCAACGTAAAATATGTTATTTTTTTGAAGTATTAGTGCAAAAAAGAATCTAAGAATAATATTATATAATCGTCAAATATGGGAGCATTGATCTAAATGTCTCCAAGAAATAAAATTGAAAATTTTTGATAGAAAATAAAATTATTTTCGATCATCATGTTTGGATACACGAGTAAGGGGCTGTTTGTTTCAGCCTCTTAATGGTTTAGATGTCTGAATGGTTCAGCACTTAATGGTTCAGACTGTTTGTTTCAGCCTCTTAATGGTTCAGATGTCTGAATGGTTAAGAGATTTGCCTCTGAATGGTTAAGTATTATACAGAGTCTGAATGGTTAAGACCTCTTATCTGAATTGATCAGACATTTGCCTCTGAATAGTTAAGCAATTACTAGCTCTTAATGGTTCAGACCTCTTACTGGTACTGGTTCAGCACTTACCCATTCAGAAGTTGCCAAACAGCCCCTAATAGTGTGAAAAGAAATAAAATGTTCACTTTATTTTTTGAAGAACAATAATAAGGGAAACAATAACAAAATTACCTTAGCGTCTTAAAGACTCCTACACATTGTGAAGTATAATATGAATGCAACTTAACCCTTATATTAAAAACATAGAGCACGCGAAATTATTTTTAGATCACACATGATAACCATCAAAAGTTGAATTATTTAACCACTAAACTAGAAAAAGAAGCATATAGAATTTAAAGAGTCATTACTTTTGTTCATCACACCCCAAAACAAAAAATAAGGAATCTTTAGCTCCATTAGAGATAATGAAAAAACAAAAACAAAAAAAATATAATAAAGGAAAATAAGTAGTCCGTAAGTATTTACAATCTTTACTTATTTTCCTTACTCTTCCAAATATGATTCATCCATTTACCCTTTTATTTTCAACCTTAAAATAATTTGGTGGAACTTTCTAAATAGGAGTAAATGAATATGAAAAATATCAAAAGAGAAGTGTAGAACTTTTAAGACTTAAATAGAAGTCTACATTGTCATTTTAAAAAAATAGTCACATTGCCAAATCAAAATGTCAAAAAAGTATGAATTTATTTCAATGCATTTATTTCAGTCACTTAATTATCACTCATTAATACTCCATATTTATGCATGAATTTATATTGCACTCTCTTTCTTTTCTTTTCATTTTTTATAAATAATACAGAGTAACTTTAGTGAGACATGTTTAAAATTTAAATAGTAACTTTAGTTTGGATTCAGGTTTCATTTTAGCTGCTCAGATTCAGATAATTTTTTCTTAGTTCGGTTTCAGAAATCTTATGGTTCGGTCTGGTTCAGGTTCGATTGTCACCCTTAGGTGTCACGGTGGGTCACTGGAGCGTCGCCACCGCCCGCCATTTGATCGTTGGTTTACCACACTGCCACCACACTTCATAATGTTTTGCCTTTGATTTTTATATCTTTCCATTTCAAATTACTCCCTCCCTTCCAAAATAATGTTCTGCCTTTGATTTTCATAGAATTCTGGGGATGAAAATGGAAATTAAGTGGTACACCGCAAGAAATTGACGAGAAGTTATGATTACATGACCTAAAGCCCACATTTAAAATGTGAACCTTCTCATATTTTTCATGAGCTTACATGTGAATATCTTCTTTTTTTGGAAAGGCCCAATTTTTTTATACTACAAATGCACTAAAGTCCATATAATGAGCATAAATCTTAAGTCCACGGAAGAATTTGCATTTGATGAGACGGGAGACTTTTTTAACCACATTTTTTTAAAAAAGGGAAAGTGAAAGACTAAAAAAAGAAGGAAGTTTCTGGGTTATGTGTAGTCACACTTGACACCAAAGTGACACCGCCAGTGTCTTACAGAGATAATGACTACGTCTGCAAGATTATCTATGGTAGTGCCAAATCTGATGTCATTATCGCGGTTAAAGTTGTATTCTTGGTCTTTTTTAAAACCCAATGGAATTCAAATTAAATCATCCACCACCTCTTACTAATAGATGCAGTTTAAAAAAAGAGTACTTGTGATTGATACTCCATTAGGGTGTTGCTAATTCACCCATGTTGTCACTAAATCCACTACATTTGTGTTAAATGGACAAATTTGCTAACATCTAATGTCCTTTTTATGTGTTTTAAGGGCAAAGTTGTCCATTTCACCATACATGGAGTAGATTTAGTTATACTGTATCGTATGCATGGGAGAGAAGAGTTACAGTCACAACAATGCTATATCAATCAGGTTTCAAGGTTCACTCTAACTGTAAGGTAAAAACCCCTTTTTACACACCAAGTTTAGCAACCATACCTTGCAAAACCTTCTTTGTTATCAGACAGTAACTCAAGCTTCTGGATTAGTTGAAAGCCCGAACACCGTTTGTCCCACTGATATTCACCCAGGGTACCAACAACTAAGCTACCATATCAAATTTTCTTTTTTTGGTTTTTTTTTTGGGGGGTGTCCCTTTGTCTCCCATTTGTAGAGAGAGATCTCACTGTAGAAATCATAGCATTGCTAACTCCTGAACCTGGCCAAATTGTGAACATTGCCAAGATGTTAGTTTGAAAAAAAACAAACAAATGCCATGCTTGTAATATCCTATCCGATTCAATACAATTGACTATTTGGACATTTGTTTTCTTGTGTGTATGTTTTAACCTTTTTTTGTTTCAAGTAAAAATGACGTTTAGAGTATAAGCGCATATTTTCTAGCTAATATACCCTTTGGTTCCCTTACTTTTTTATACATTAGTTTCTCGACTTGCGTCGAACTAATCCTAAGCCTCTAATACCCCACCTCAAGAATCCTAGAAGGGGTAAATCTAGAATTCTTTCGTTCCTCAGATTCCCAGTAGCTCCGAGCTCCCACACTACCGTTGGAAGCGAGACATCCACAATAGATCCAACCAAAGGGCTAGAACCAAGGGGGCTAGATGTTAATTGAAAATCCTCAATGTGACTCAAACTCGTGATCTCCCACAAGAGGAGAGTCTTAATTGTAGAGTGGTTACCAATGGACCACTACAACTTGTCAAATGTGAGCTCCCCTTTAGTTCTGTTACTTTGCCTAGCGAATCAAGTCAACTTGTCAAATGTCACCTCCAATTGCTGATATCATTCATAATCGGATCAAGTAAATTGGGTCATAATGATCATGGATCAAACCATCCCAAAAGATGCAAATCAATGTATGTTATAAACTCATATATCACTGTATAATACTTCGAAGTGGACTCTTTACAGTTATTATTAGGGGTTAGGAGATACTACATCCGTCCCGAAAAACCTTTCATGTTTCGACTTTTTTTGGTTAAAAAGTGGCACTCTTTGACTACAAATTGAGAAAAAAGTATATTCAATTTTAATGTAAATTTGATATAATTGGGTTCATCTTAGGATATAGTTTTGACTTTTGATATATCAAACTTTTATAACATTTATTATTCAAATTATGCTTAATTTGTGGTAAAAGAATGTCAANTACTTCGAAGTGGACTCTTTACAGTTATTATTAGGGGTTAGGAGATACTACATCCGTCCCGAAAAACCTTTCATGTTTCGACTTTTTTTGGTTAAAAAGTGGCACTCTTTGACTACAAATTGAGAAAAAAGTATATTCAATTTTAATGTAAATTTGATATAATTGGGTTCATCTTAGGATATAGTTTTGACTTTTGATATATCAAACTTTTATAACATTTATTATTCAAATTATGCTTAATTTGTGGTAAAAGAATGTCAATGTTTGACCAAAAAAAGTCAAAATATGAAAAGTTTTCCGAGATGGAGGTAGTATATCATAATTTTAACCGCTTTCTTAATGTGCATGCATCCAAAGCTTCATTTATATTGAACTAGAGGCAGTAATACACTTAACTCTTTTGGGACGAGATATTGCTCATTAGGGGGACGACTTTGTTGATGATGAATCCTGGCGGCGATGGTTTAGTGTTGGTGGTTTCGCCATGCCCAATTACTGCTCGGATAGATATTCCTTCTCGAGTGCACTAAACATGATCAACAACCGCTCTTGAAGGTTGGAGGCGATGTTCTTGGTGATCCTTTTCTGATGTTTGATGTATTTGGACCATTGCACTCCAAAGTATACCTGGACATTGCATCCTATGGTTCCTGATGCTACATCCTCAACTTGATACCTGTGGTGAAGCTGCAATGCAACAAGCAAACAGGTGAGTAACTAAGGCCCCAATTTGGTAACCTACTTTTTGGGTTTGCAGCATTGTCTTCTTTGACAGTATTAAGTTAAAACAAATTTTAAGAATAGTGCACAATTTACATGTCGGCTGAAATAAAGAAAAATGAAACACGTGCCTTTAGATGCCATTTCATTTAAATCATAAAAAAAATAAAAAATTAGTACCTTCGTCCCATGAAAGAATCATGTTTAACAAAGGTACAATTTTTTTAACTTTGAAAGGAACTTCTATAAATCATTAATCTTTACTCATTTAAAAAAATATTGATAGTTTAACAACTCATCATGTTTAACTTGCATGTAACTCTACGTTGACAAATTACAAAAAAAAACAAGAGTTTCATTAGATAATTCCATCTTAATGACCACAGTTCCAGCAAACGTGGCAAATTTGGTCATTTCAACCAAATCCCCCCACCACCACCAAACGCGGCAAAATTATACTGTGTATTAGCCGTTGATGTCCCACATAAGCACGTCTAATCCCCACTAAGCACTGGACTGGCGGACTGTCTTTTTCCTCGTTTTGACCCCCACCTACTTCCACTTTGACCTGCTCAGCTGCTATACCCCAATATAGCAGCTGCCTGAACCTACAGCTTTTTACAACTTATGTTAGCAGGAACGTGATGCAAAGAAGTTTGGAGGGGACAAAATGCATACATTAAAATAGTCGCCCAGAGGAACCCCGTGAAATGTCAAGACCTCTTCGACAAGCCAACCATTCTTTTCAGGAAGGCGGGATTTCTGTTGTGTGCTAGTCACCTCGACTTTGTACCGATATAGCCATTTATCAATCTTGTAATAAAGTTGTCTTTGATACACATCAGACTTCTCGGATTCCCATGGACTGTGCGAATAGTTCAGACATCCAGCTCTCTCCATAACTCTTTTGTCCAGTTCATTCCCACTAAATAACTCCATGAAAAAATCTGTCTGAACTTCAAATAAACAATATTTATTAATTTATTTGTAGGAGATAGCATAAGAATTTGCATGTGTGCCCATAGTCATGAAGCTAAGTTTATCGCCAATGGAGCTAAAAGAGTCTTTATTGACACTGGTTTAGATTTGGAGAATTATTGGATTAAATCAAAATGGCACATTAAACTTCATTTGTTTAACTGCTTATTTTTTATGAAGTTTTAGGTAGTAGATGCATCAATGCACCAAAAGTCTAATGGAAAACTTCTCTGTTGTATCTACAAAGAGTTAGGTTGTGTCTACTGTATATCTTGACTGCCAGACCCCAACAGAGTTGGGATTACATTGGGTGCTGTTGTTGTTTGTACCACAGTTTAAGTAAAGAAGTTAACCAGTACTCTAAATAGATATTGCATGTCATGGAAAACAAAAGAAACTTACAAAGAAAGGGGAATAGGTGAAGAACCTTTTTTTAACAAAAGAAATGTCCTTAATGAACCAAGGAATATACCACTTCTCATTCCATTTATACGACACATTAGGGTTTTATCAATGCACATTTAATTTTTTCTTCCGTAATTGTCCCAATTGAAAACTCTATAAAAGATCTCCATGGAAATGTTTTAGGGCATATTAGGAAAGTGAAAAATATTCTACAAGCTTTTAATCATTTCCTTAATCTGCGTGAAAGGTAAAATCATGTCTTATAATAAGGACCGTGACAAAAATGACACAGCCTGCACAGGAGAGAGGGGTGGCCCGAACTGCGAGTGGAATATAACTCATTCATATAAGATTAATACTTAATACGGAGTATATGGGTTTGTAAAAAAAATCAAATGTATTGGCAAAAAATATAATGTCTAGTCTTTCAGATCTAATTTAAATGACTTCTTTTTTAGTTTGTTACAAATACTCAATTGACCCTTTGGTAACAGAATAAAGTGGAAAACACACATTCATTTAAACATCCCAACAAATGATATATGTGAATACTCACAGGAATAGAAAGCACAGAGGAATAAGCAATGGACATGGTGAGATCATCATCTCCAGTGGATAAATCCATATCTTCACCTTGTATGTTTTTTCCTTCAGTTTCATCATCTGGTTGCATGTTTTTATCCATAGAATCCTCATCACCGATCTGGAGGCTTTTAGCCTTGGATTCTTCTTCAGCTATTCGTGCCTTTTCCTCTGGGCTCAGAGCTCTCGCCTTCCACAGTGCCATGATCAGCCTATGTGCGGTTCATTTTAAAAAGTCAAATAAAATATGGTAGCAAACATCATCTCATGCAGTACAAAACAAAGATAACACGCCCAAAGTTCCTTTTTCGAAAGGGTTATTTAGCTGAATATGTTTACATCATTCAAAGTGGTAATCTTGATCCTTCAAATAATAGTTCTCTGATATAGTAATAGTATTCCAAAAGCATATTAGTAGACGTTCAGATTGTCTCATACAGTTCCATTTTTTCTCAGAAGATACACAAACAAAATATTAGCATTCCTAGCAAGCAGGTTTGTTATAACAATTTCTAAAATCTCTATTTGTATGATTTAGATAAAGCTTGACTTAGTGCCTTGAATGGGGTGTGGTGGAATGCTTTTTATACTAGAAAATAACTTTGAAACACAATGTTCAATAAGCGTCAGTTTGGATCTCATAAAATACTAGGGAAAGATGAAAGAAGGAAAACAAACAAGTACGAAGTAATTTAGAAGGAAGGAAGATATTTGGAAAAATTAAACATGGGCTAAAATACAACAAACTTGTTTCAGATATCATCTTTTATTTTCCTTTACATTCTCAATTGCAGAACCAAATAAAAGCCAACAACTTTCCTATTTTCTTAGCATTTTTGTTCTTCTCTTGGCATTTTTTATCCAAATATCCTAAGACACAAAGTGAAGGATAACTGACCCAAACAGTAAACACAAATAATTGATACAATTCCCAAAAAAAGAATAGGTAGTTTGGATGTAGAAGTACCTAAGAGCCATACTGAAAGACACAAAGGACTGAAAATGGAACTTTAGCCTGCCCTCAGCATCTTGAGTCTTTGCACCATGTTTGGCATCAAACCCTCTGCCTGACTTTAAAGTCATGATAATAATTGGGCTGCCAATTGATGCCAAAGTCTTGGGGATGACTTGAATATCTTCTATATCTTCCCAATGAAAGAAAAAATTTGTCTTATGGCCAAAAAGATCTGCATGAAACCCAATTATTCTTGCAGACAGAAATAGACGTCCCTGCACCAAAACAATTGCAGTAAAAGTACTTTTCATCATATAAAAACCACTTATTATTTGCAAATCAGTCATCACAAATGCACTCTAAGCTACGCCAATCTGATTGCTCTCCCAAACACACCCTATAACAAGAGTAGTAATAACTACCTGAAGGGGCATTTTACGCTTCAAATGACAAGAGAAGTCGTTGATAAGGAACTCCTCTGGTGGAAGCTGAAAAAGCTTTTGGAATGCTGAATTTGTTTGCGGAGACCTTAACTTTATCTATAACAATATATTTAATAAGAACTTTGTTCAAAGAAGCATAGCTAAAAGGAGACCTAAAATATAAAGAAAGATTCCTAGAGGTGAATAAAACTGTATAAACTGGGATACCTTCTTTCCCACTTCCTTCTCCATCTTAGACAAATAATCTTTGACGACATTGCTACCCTTTGTATTATTCAAGACAATTCTTAAATGCAACTTAGACTGGCAGGCAAGCGCGAACTGCCCTTGAAGAGTAATCCAAAAATCAGACAGATCTGATACTTTTGTTTTAACAAAATTGATTTCAGCATGCCCAATAGTTGTAGCTTCATGGGAAGGTCCATCAGAACAAAAGACTTCAACATTCAGCAAAGATGGAGGCTCCTCCATTGCATCAAACTCAAATATTTCTGCACAAAACCATGGTTAAAGTAGTAAAAGAGCAACTTCCATCACACGAACAAGAGTCATATTTGAACCCAAAAATACTAATTTTCACTAAGGTTCAACCATGAGTTTTCATATGGTTGAGCCTAAATATATTCTCTTTTTTGGATAGTAAATATTAAAAATTCAAAGCATCGGTAAAAGTGCAAAACACTGCAGTGCAAAGAATTTCAGCTTTGAATTGTATGTATTTTAATTCATCCACAATGAATAACAATCCATGGGTTTTCTTTTCAGATAAATACATGTGCATCCTTAATTCTTTAAAGTGCCAGTTTTAATGGTTCATCTTACTTAACCAACATGATTGGATATTTACCATTCCACTTAGGACATGAACATCTGAACCTGATTGAGCTAGCTCTAGTTTTACCATTGCAAGTAAAAACCACATACGGGTTAGAAACCCCGCCCGATTCAACTGCTACCAAATCGCTTCCTTCAAGCAATGCAACAGTCAATAGCCAACCATCTCCCTGAGCTTTGACACCATGGTCACCACCTTTGGCTATCATGTTGAAAGAGAACCAAACATATTTCAGGTAAAAACCAGTGTGAAAAATAAAACACATAAAACCATCACTATTCGGATGTAACACTTGCATTTCAGTCTTTTAGAAACTACTACGAAACTCTTCATGGGCACATTTCTTGCACCACTCTTTGCTTCTTTTTCATGCTCTGTGCTTTCTGTGTTGTTTGAGCTGACGATCTCGAGGAAACAGCCTTACTACTTTCGAGCATATGGATAAAGTCTACATACACACAGATTCTACTCGATTGTTGTTGTTGTATGATGTTTCCCATGTCATTCATATTTCCTAATTCCCACACCTCCTACAAAAATTCTTCTAAAAACTCCAAGAGTTAATGCCCAATTTAGTTCCTCAACTAACTATATACGGAGTACTATTTTATGTCCCACTTAATACCCACATTAGTTCCTCAACAATATACTATACGTCCCACTTAATACCCATTTTAGTTCCTCAACTATATACCACTCTCTGTCCCATTTGAAGACTTATAATACCATTAAAACATTGAAAATGGCAAGTGGTAAATGGAGTGTCACATGCTGACGGGACACATTTCAACCAATCAAAAACAGTTAGTGGATTGGTAAGTCTTGTAGTGTCAAATCATTGTTTTTGTTGGTTTTTGTTTTTGTTGGTTTTTACATATCTTTGGCATATTTTAATTATTTTAGTTATCTATTTCATCATATAAATACTTCTATTTACTAAAAAAAGCTTACTTCCGGGAATGCCTCGCCTCTCCACTTGGCTGCACTTCCTTCCCTCTCCATTTGTGGCAGGGCGAGGCAACTCAGCAGTCCGCCATTGCGAATGCTCTTAAAGGAAACTGAAACGAAATGGAAATTGAATCTATTCACATACCTCTCTGTACTCTGGCCTGCATAAAGCCCGAAACCAGCTTCAGCGCACGCGCGCCCTGCATCACCAGCACTCCAGAAACAATCAGCTCGCCAATGGAGTCCGGCAGATCGAGTCCGGCGAACTCCAGCCCCTGGATCGAGCTGGGAGCGGCAATCAAAGTGTGAAAGATCACGTAGAGCCCCACCAGAAGCGCCGAAATCACCGTGAAATTCGCGAAATACTGAACCGCCAGCTTCCCGTCCGATTGCGGCTCCGCCTGTAGAGACTCCAAAACCAGATCCTTCTTCTTCTTCCCCGGATCATGATCCACCACTGGTTTCACGTTCAGTGACAGTAAGCTCAAGAATTGCTCGAAGTTCTCCTTTACGCCTTGCCGTGCCCCGTTCTCGATGAAACCTTTTTAGAACAAAAAAATTTAACTAATCCCTTAATAATAAGATTTTAAAAATTTAATATAAAAAAATATTTTAAAATGTTACTTCGTATATTCCATGGGTCCCATTTCTCATTTTGACTTTTGATAATTTTTAAGGAGAGTTGAAAAAGGTAAAAATTTATTATAATACATTTAATGAAAAATGGGTGGAGTGTATAACTTTATATAATTACTTAGAGTGTAATAATTTTATTTTATTTTTGCAATAAAAGTTTTATTTTACTTTTTTTATTTGATTTCTCAAAAACTATGAGTATTTGTTATATTTTAAATATTTGTCTAATTTAATTTTTTTAAAATCAAACTACATAAATTTCTTAATATTTATAATATATGTTAGTACAATAATTAAAAAGAATTGAGAGAATAATATTATATAAACAAACTAAAAGAGAATGAAAAGAACTATTGGCTTAAAAAGAATTGAGAAATTAATATTCATTCAGAGGACATTCTTTTTTGTGTTTCTTCAAAAAAAAGTTTAACTATTTTTGTAAAAGGAGTGCTTTATTAAGTATTATTAAGAGATGGAAGAGCAAGTTTTTAAATTAATTTAATCTTTTTGTCTCAAAATATTTGTCTAATTTTAATTTTTTGCAGTTAATTAAAATTAATTTTTGATTTAAAATTATATAAAAATTACATGATAATAATACGGAGTAACATTTTAAGATTATTTTATAAAATGATTATAATAAAATTATTTTTGTATCAATATATAAAATAAATTTTATTAGATTCGTGTTCAAAATTTATAAATTTTAATTATAAAATGTTAAAATTGAACAAAAACTAAAAAAGGCTTTTTATAAAAAGTGATGTATAGTTTTTTTTGCATTGCAATTAGCCATTTTTCTGGTGTTTTTAAAACCTTTCATCATAGTGCTCTGCAGGAAGTTCATCCGCCATGAGACCACCAATCTGGAAGACTCTTCTCCGGCGGGGAGATCGGGGCCGGGAGTGATGCGGTAGAGCACCTCCGTCCTGAAAGTGTTCCCGTACGGCGCGTCCGGCGTGGCGACGGTGCTCGACACCGCGTACGTCCTCCCGTCCGCCCTCACGTACGTCTGCTCCTCCGTCGTTTTCAAAGCCTTCACCAGTTTGCTCGCCGCCTTAACGAAAGTGACCACTCTTCTGAAACTCTCAACGCCGCCGCCGTTTTCGAGCTTCCAAGGACCCGAGCAGAATTCCGTGGATCCTTGGGCGTCCATTAGGGTTTTGAAGAAGTTCGATTCGGGGGAAAAGAGGAACGAGTTGAGTTCACTCGGCGCGATTGCGTAAACTCGGTCCACTACTACCCCTGGCAAATCAGTAATTTCGCTCTCCTGCTCTCTCATCTCCATGTTTCTCATCATCTCTTCAAAGCTCAGTGATGATGAGGACGATGAAGAATGCTGCTGCTCGTCTGGTGCGTGGTCGTTATTCTCCTCGGTTTCAGAAGCATCTGGAAGATCTGGAGATTTTGGGGGAAGTTCATCTCCTTGCTTGTTGAAAATTTGGTAAATCCGACCAACCAAGGTGGTTTGTATATTTGGTTTTTCTTCTTTGAATTCTTCTATCCTCATTGGGGATGGGAAGTTGAGAGGGCCAAAGGAAGACCGTGAAACCAATTCGCTTCCTGCGTCAATACACTTCTTTGATTGCACCACACCAATGTCACCTCCGGTCTGCATTTCTCCCGCGGAAGAATTGTTCTGGGAGAAGCAAATAGTGAGAAGGATTTGACCTGAAAAACCAAAACAACACCATAGCATTGGCAAAGGACAAATCCAAGCATTCAAAATCATAAGAAGTTGTTTGGATCAGGTAAAGGTGAGCACTATTGGGAGCAAGCTTGAGTCTGGATGAAAGGTTTTTGGAGTTCTACAAAGACAAATACGTGAGGGGTTTTGGCTAATGCGGAGTTTGGGTGACCCCAACATGTGATATCGGAACCCATAGTCGAAGTGGCGGGAAGTAGTGGATTGCATTATGTGAGAAGTTCTTGTCGAAAGTCTTCCGCAGAAGTGGTGGTTTGGCGGCGCAGGGTTAAAAAAGACGATACAAGATAATTCGATAGGTTAAATGATATCACCGAACGGATTCAAGATTTATGATTGATGGCTCGTGTTGAAAGTCTTCTTGATAATGAGGTCGGGATTATTGTGATCACAAGTTGGATGGTCCTTATTTTGGGGAGAGATTTGTTGGGAGCAAACTCAAGTCTCACACTGGGTGGAGTTCTTTTGGGATGTGTCCCAAAACAAATATGTGAAAACTTGGTCTAAAACGAACAGTATTATACTAATGCGGGTTTAGGAGGAGACAATTAATCCCAACAGCTAGTAATATAGATTATGAGGGTTGCCTACTTTGGTTGTCTTCTGAAATAATATGAATTACACCATTTTTTTTCCTCAAAGGAAGAACCTACTCAACCTATTTAGGGTTGTCTTTTGGTTTGGATGAAAAAGCAAAAAGGAAACATTTTTTTTCCCATTCCCTAACATTGTTGAGTTTCAAGTTTCAACTATGCAGGCAAATTTATGACCATAGGGAACAGATACACAAAAGCTTACCACAATCCTTGTTCTTGGCTTTCTTGTTCTTGGGCATCAAAGTGTACCAAGCAGTTCCAAGGGACTTCCCATCAGCTTCAAAAACCTGATAAGTGTTGATCTTAACTTGGCCAACGAAATCATCATTGAAGTACTTGTCTTCACCCATGACAGAAACCACAAGCTCTTCCTCCTTAAAGTCTTCCACATGAAAGGTGAATTCCTCGCACCACGATGGGTTCAGGCACTTCTTCACCACCTTGGTCTTGAACTTCTGTTTCCCCATCTTCACCTTCACATAGGGATCACTCAGCCCATTCTGGTCATTTCCAGGTATGTTCCGCGCTTCGATCACCCGCAGTAAAAGCTTCATCCTTATCAAGAATCGCTCGCAGAAATTCAATATTTTTTACAATAATGCTCCAAGAGACATGGATTCCATACTTTCTGAGGTATGCAATTTTGGAGTATCATTGTATAAAAATATTGATTATCTGGGATTGCAGGGGAGAATTACACAATCTTGGAGGATTCGTGTAGAATATTAGATTTGGGAGTATTGGTATGAATTTCTCCTTAAAAAACACAAACCTTTTAATAAAAAGATCAATTTTTTTTCGTTCGGATCATCATCAAGAATGTGCTGCACTGGAAAGAAACCAGATTTAAGAATGGGACCAAGAAAATTGCTATAGGAGCACATGCTTGATCGTTAATGAGATGTGACCGGACAATCTTGAAGGACACAAATCACAATGAATAATGATGATAGATTTGCAAAAAAAGACCCCAAAATTCTTAGATTTTGGTGCAGATTATAATAGCAATGAAACAGAAATGAGAATCTGGGGAATGGCATTCAGTTTCCATAGCTCCTAAAGAAACCACATTTTGTTGGAAGAGGAAACAGGGGAAGAAAAGGGTCGGCGGAGGGAGGGCAGAAAGCCATAAAAGGGTAGAAATATTAAGGAGATTTTTTTTTTCTTATTTGTATTTGTTTGTTTCAATTTTCCCATTGAATGTAGAGGATGAAGTTTTCTGTTTTTATTTTCTAGTTTTTATAGGGAGATTTTTTTTCTTATTTAAATACTTGGTTTCTAATTTGGAATATAGTATTATTTTCGTTTACTTTTCTAGTTTTGACTTTTTGCAATTAACTACTTTCAAAATTTGATCTCGAATTAAATAAAAATCATATAGTATAATTAGATAAAGTTATATTTTGAAAATGTTTATAAAGATCTAATATAATTATTGTTTTATCAATATCTAATATGGTATTATGGTGTATCAGTTTTATCTAATTAGTGGTCAATTTTGCCTATAAAAAATCAATATTTCATAGACCATACTCCCTCTATTCATAAGTGTTAATTTATTGATTAATTTTACCTCGTCAAAAATCCCATTTTGATTACAAAATGGGAATTACAAGGTAAAATCTCTTGATTTTTGAATTTATTTTATTTACAAATTGTTATATCAATAAGAAATAAAAACTATATGTTAAAAAATTACATTAAAAATTTTACAAAATAAGAGGTGACAAGAATATTTTATTTTATCAAATAATCAATGAAAACACGCAAACAAGCAAAAGTTATCGAGGTGCGAGAGATAATAAAATTGTAGTCAAAATGGGGATGGAGGGAATATAAACTTACTCCCTCCGTCCACAAATAAACTTCTCGTTCACTATTCACAGGGTCAAACTTTATTCACTTTGTTGGCTTATTTTCATCACCAATTTGATAAAATAATATAGTCAGGTCACTTCTAGTTTTGTAGATCTTTTAGTATAATTTTTTAATATGTAATTTTTATTTTTAAATTTTACACCATTTTTTATATTAAATGATTTGAAAATAACTTCAGTCGAACATCGTAACATGTAGCGAGAAGTTTATTTGTTGACGGAGGGAGAATATTCGTGTTTAGAAAAATGGACTATGTTTAAGTATTAAAGTAATTTTAAATTTTTTTAATGTATTATTAACTCAATTGTAATAATGTAGCATCTCCTTATGCTTTTCTCAAATCTCAACCTAATAATAAGTCTTCCTGCCACCAAGGGTGGATGAACATTGTACGGAATGGGGGCACTTGCGCCCGATAACTTTCAATTTTTTTACAGAGTAATAAATACCCTTTTTTAAAAAATAATAATCCGTACTCCGTAATAAATATGCTCCCATTAAAAAAAATCACATGCTTCATTAATTTCTCAAACCTCTTTTTTTTTGAACCGAAATGCAAATATATTAAAATCCCCTAAGTCCAGTATACAAAACAGAAAGCCAATAACCCAATACTACTACAACAATCAATCAACTACTTTTGCTCATAGAGAGCCATTATCCTGCTACTCCCTTGGCTCTCATATATGTTCCAACATGATGGATGACCCCCTCGGTAACAACTTCAATTGGTATAAGTGAATCCTGATGCACTTTTTGATTTCGGGCTTGCCAAACATGATATACCGTTGCTGCTAGTATGGAGCATAGCTTCCTCCCGGTTGGACTTTCTTTAGTTTGTCAGTCATTTCTCCCCAATTGCTTCCTTCAAATTTGTATAAGCACCAGTCATATAGTTTATTATAGACCTCAATTGTAAATGGGCAGCTGCAAAACAAGTGTTGTATATCTTCAGGTGCTGTTTGACACAAGGAGCATGCTGTATCAATCTGCAGAAACTTAGATAATCTGACTTTAGTTTGAAGTCTGTTTTTATTCAGCAGCCACATAATGAACTTGTGTTTTGGTATGGAGCCTTTATTCCAGACCAAGTCCACCCAGTCAACCCTTTGTTTCTCCCCCAGTAGCCAAGTATATCCTTTGTCAGGAGTGTACCCATTTGTATTGTCCATCATTGCGAAACAGTCCCTGACCTGGATCATTTTCTTCCAATAGAAACAATCATCATTCTTGAAACAATAATCCCATATATTACACCCTTTAAGATATTTATTATGGATCCACTTAATCCATAGGTTATCCTTCTTCAAAGCCACATCCCATACCAAGCTCATAATGTTAGCCTTATTCCAAAGTATTAGGTTTTTGAAACCTAACCCCCCATACTTCCTTGGTAAACATGCCTCTTCCCAAGCAACCAGAGGAACTCTTTTGTGATCCTGGGTGGATCCCCAAAGAAAATTTCTGCACGGGCCTTGTATCTTAGCCATGACTTGATTGGGTATTAAGAAAATTCTGCTCCAGAAGTTAATAATTCCATATAGCACAGAATTTATCAATTTGCACTTTCCAGCATAAGACAGGTTCCTTGTAGTCCAAGCATTGATTTTGATGGTCATTTTCTCTACTAACTTTTCACATTCTTTAGAACTAATTCTAGAAGAAGTGATTGGTCCCCCGAGGTAAGTAAAAGGAAACTTACCCTTATTCATTTTAGTGATGTGCATTAATTTAGCCTCCTCTGCAATACTAACACCCCCAATGATGATTTCAGATTTTTTATGGTTGATGCTCAATCCAGTGGTATCATTAAAGTGCTGTAAGGCCTCCATCACGCATCTAATTGTAGATTCTTCTGCCTTACACGCCACAATGAGATCATCAGCAAACACCATATTTATTAATTTAAGATCTTTGCACATGGTATGGTACCCAAACTTACCCTTAGAGGCATACCATAAGAGAGATCTAGTGAGATATTCCATAACAATCACAAAGATTAAGGGGGAAACGGGGTCTCCTTGCCTTATTCCTTTGCCACCTCTGAAGAAACCATAGCTCTGCCCTGCATACTGAATTGAATACGTTGTGGTGGTGACACAATATCTGATCCAATTTATGAACTTTGAGGGAAATTTCAGAAGAGTTAGGTACTGGATTATAGCCTTCCAACTAACATTGTCATAAGCTTTTTGAAGATCAATCTTCATCATACACCTGGGGGATATTTTTTTCCTGTTGTATCCTCTGGCTAACTCTTGGCATAGAAGGACATTATGGATAAGTTCTCTCCCTTCCACAAATGCCCCTTGATTCAAGTTGATAATACTGGCCAGCACCTTCCTAAGTCTTCCACATATAATTTTTGATATGATTTTATACAAAACATTACAACAAGCTATGGGCCTAAGATCACCTGGACTCCTGGGGTTTCACATTTTGGGATAACTACAATATTGGTGGAATTAATCTGCTTGACTGTGTCTTCCTTATAGAAGAAATCCTGGACTGCTTTAGTAATTAAACCCCCCACTGTCTTCCATTGGCTCTTGAAAAATCCACTGCTGTATCCATATGGACCTGGGCTTTTACTATTTGGTATGTCAAATAAGCACTTCTTAACTTCTTCAGATGTAATTGGAGAAATCAGCTTCAGTTGTTGTTCTATAGTCAGGAGAGCCCCATATTAATGATTTCCTCATTGATATCTTGTGTCTTTTTAGCTACCCCCAGTTGTTTTGTATAAAAATCCATAAGTACTTTAGCCACTTCAGCTCTTCCTTCAACTATGTCCCCTTTTGCATTGGTTAATGAGGAAAATTGATTGAGCATCTTCCTCTTTTTTAACCATGCATAAAATAATAATTTTGAGTCATGATCCCCATATACAATCCAGTCAGCTTTAGCTTGCTGATGCTTCAATAGGAGATTAGCTTTTAGCTTCAGATTTAGTTCATAAGCTACTTTCTTCTCAATATCCAGAGTCACTGGATCCCTCTTAATCTTTAGTTCTTCTTGGACAGTGTGCAGCTTTGTACGTAGTTCATCAACTTGATTATCTAGGTGCTGAAATTTACTCCTGTTCAACCTTCTTAGAGGGCCTTTAAGCATCTTAAGTTTCCTGACCACTTGATACATAGAGTATCCTTCCTGTTGTTGATTCCAGATATCAGCCACCACCTTTGAGAAACTTGGGTCAAGTGACCACATGTCACAGTATTTAAAGCAGTGTCTTGGTGCCTCATTAATAAGATTCTTCAGGATCATTGGAGAGTGATCTGAAATACCTCTTTCCATGAAGAAAATTTTATAATCAAACTTGATTAGCCATTCCACATTCCCCAACACCCTGTCCAGTTTTGAGTATATTCTGTGATCTAAGTCTTGGTTATTTGTCCAGGTATATTTTGATCCTTCATAAGGTAGGTCTTCTAAACCACATTCACCAAGGCAATTTTTAAACATTCTGGACTCCTCCCAATTTGCAGGGTTGCCACCTATTCTTTCATCAAGATTTAGGACTGTATTGAAGTCCCCAAGAACACACAAAGCAGAATTAATAGAGATACTAGTCAGATTATCCCAGAGTTCTTTCCTTTTAGCAGAGTCATTCTGTGCATAAACAAAAGTGAGGAAAAACTCTATGTCATCCCCAACTAACCTCCCTTGACAATGAACCAACTGTTCAGTAACAAACTTAATCTTAATGTTCACCATATTCTGATTCCACACAACCCAGATCCTCCCGAGTGGGTGCATATTATTATTAATAAAATATTCCCATCCCATAAAAAGTTTATCAGCAATACTTTTGACCCTACCATCCTTTATTTTGGTCTCCAGGATACCAAAAACATTAAGTTTATACTTATTTATAATATTCTTTATTTCATATTGTTTATTAGGGCTATTTAGCCCCCTTATATTCCAGCATCCTATCATAGTAGAAAAGGGAAGTGCCCTTTGTTTCTCACTTGCTTAAAAAATAGGTCAATGCGTTTAAAATCTTTAGTTGAAAATTAGTTTTGGTAATATATACTCCACCCGTCCCAAAAAGATATATTCATTTCATTTTTTGCACATTCCATAAAATACTTTTATCTCGTCTCAAATGCCAAAAAACTTTTAAAACAATTTCAACCCACAATAAAAGGTAAATGTAGTTAATTTTAGATGTGGGTAGAAATGTTTTATGTGTAGTAATTTACAATATTAAGATGAAATTTATCATTATTTTTATCGTTACACATTGTCCTTTAGAAAAAGAACAATGCTAGGTTCACCCAATCTTTCCATTTTTGAATTCATCACTGTCTGCCACTCAAGCTAAAGAAGAAGCTTATCAGTAATTTTATAATTTTATATCATCATTATTATCATCATCATCATCATCATCATCATCATCATCATCATCATCATCATCATCATCATCATCATCATCATCATCATCATCATCATCATCATTATTATTATTATTATTATAAGAATACTCCAAGAGGCATGGATTCCATACTTTGTGAGGTATGCAAATTTGGAGTATCATTGTATAAAAATATTGATTGTCTGGGATTGCGGAGGACAATTACACAATCTTGGAGGATTCGTGTAGAATATTAGATTTGGGAGTATTGGTATGAATTTCTCCTTAAAAAACAAAAACCATTTAATAAAAAGATCAATTTTTTTTCGTTCGGATCATCATCAAGAATGTGCTGCACTGGAAAGAAACCAGATTTAAGAATGGGTTCTCATTCAAGAAAACCAAGAAAATTGCTATAGGAGCACATGCTTGATCCTATGATGGTTAAATTTTGACACAATTTTTACATCGATATACATTCACACAACATGCGTGTTTGACGGAGAGTTTTTTTTTTTTTTTGGGGAAGATTTTGAATTTTTGAGAATAAAAATAGAAATTCGAAGTATTAGAAAAAGAACTGTTTGGAAGAGATTTTTTATTCCAAAAGCTGACTTACAAAAAAAATTTATATTTCAAGCTCTTTTCAATGGAGTTTTTTTTGTGTAGCAGCTGTTTTTTTTTAACTTTTTGGAGTTTGTACGTAAAAAGTTAAGTTTAGCATCACATGTGTTTTTTTTTCAATGTAGCACTTTTAGTCATTATCAATCAGTCATTATTCAAGTAAATGTTTGACATCGATGGACATTATGGACATTATTAAGTGCTATTTAAGGAATAAAATAGTTTAAATGCTATTTAGAGAAATAACTTAAGTTTTAGCGCTATTTAGTGCAAAAATATACTCCCTCCGTCCCCCATAGATCTTCTCAATATCCCTTTTTCTTTGTCCACAATAGATCTTCTCATTTCATTTTTTAACAATTAAAATATCATAACTACCCCACTTACTTTATTTATTACACCTCACCCACCTCATTTAATACACTCCACCCATATTTCATTAAGGGTATTATGGTAAACTTTCACCTTTTTTCAACTCTTCTTAAAAACCATCAAAAGTCAAAATGAGAACATCTTAGGGGGACGGAGGGAGTAATAAAGTATCGAAATAATGCATTCATCAAGAAAACAACAACCCACTATAATTCCAAACTTTGTCGGATCTAGGGGGTCAAGTTGTACACTGTCTTACCGCTCATTTTTACTCCCTCCGGCCTATAATGATCTTCCCAGAGCACTATTCCAACTTCACGGGAATTTATATTTATTTGTGTTTTTTCATGGCCTATATGATAAAATAAAATATTCTTGTCACCACTTGTTTTGTTGAACTTTTGGTGTAGTTTTTAAATATGTATGTTTTATTTTTTATTTCTATACCAATATTTAAATAAAATAGATTGAAAAAAATTGGAATTTTTCTTCATTTTGCGAACCGGGAAGATCATTATAGGACGGAGGGAGTATTTATTTATTTCTTTTTTATTTTACATGCCAAAATATGTGGTAATGGAAGGGTAGTGTACATTTGGGGTACACTTTTGGTGTACCCTAGCATTTTTGTTGTTGTATTTAATTCACTAAAAGTAAGAAGTCAAAGTACTCTTGAGGTCAAATAAAAAGGCACTTGTAATGAATTTCAATTCTTCCTCTCGTATTCAATCGAATCGGAGGACCTTCACTAGCAAAAAGAGTTGGCCCCATTAAAATATTAGGCTCGGTCCAGTAAGGCTTCAGCACTCTTCTGAGTAGGCCTTGATTCTGATAAAAAAGAAAGGGTAAGTTCTTAAAATGATATTCAATAAGTATGTGTCTTCCCAAATTAGTTCCCTGCTAATTAACGAGATGATACTCGCTAATAGAAAATAATGCTTAGTTTAGTCTCCAAATGACATTAAAACCAATACCAATTTTCCAAGTAGATCATCTATAATTGGATATTTTTTCAAATTAGTCTATTTTTGATGTAAAAACTCATTTAATATGAAAAACCGAAGCAAAATTCTTTTCTTTTAATTGATTTACAGTGTCCGAGCGAAGCCGGGAGACCATTTTTTATGAGTTTTTATTTCAAAAATTGACCAATTTTGAAAAAGATATGATTAGAAATGATCATTTTGAAAAACAGTATAAGTTTTAATGTCATTTTAACGCCATTTTTATGGCAGAAGACTATACTCGGCATTACATTCCGTTAATAGAGTACTATCTCGGTAAAAAGTTCATACATCAGATTGTTGATTCATGTTTATAGATGTTCTCGAAACTGTTCAATTTTTTAAGCATGTGTTCTATTTCAGATGTGGAAGACATTCATAACAGGTTTTCATTACATAAGGATAGAAAGTATTATTACTTTTATCAATATCACCATTCTAACAAAATCAGTCCTTGAACTTGATACTCCCTCCGTCCCAAAATAAACTTTACATTTTAATTTAAGATGTTTGATTGAAGTTATTTTCAACTCAACTTATTTAAAATAGTTTAAATAAAAAATCAATGAAAGAACAATGCCATCACTCGAATAGGAGTACTAGAAATCATCACAATAACATGCATTGACAATTGTGTCACATAACTCATAATCAGAAGAAGAACCCTTCATGAGAAATTGGCAAAAAAAAAAGGGGCTGTTTCATTGTAATTAACAAATTCATAGGAATAAGGTTTGTTTAGAAACCCTCTCACACAATCCCAGCCGGGTTGGCACCAAATTGAAAAAGTACTTCCGAATCATATGAAAATGCACATTACCATTGGGTGCATTGGCATCAAGCATTTGAGGCATTGTATTGCTGGGCATTTGGGGCATCAGCAGCATATGAAGAAGCATCAGCATTTGAGGCATTTAATCGGTTGGGAGTTGAGAGACGACCATTTCGCCTTTGGCAGAAGGGGAATGAATCAGGATCCCTATTTACTATTTCACGGATCCCTGCTTTTATCATTGCAAACGCTTCTCTCCGCCTTCTTTTTTCTTCATCACTTGCCTCATTATATGGGATGCATTTCTTTTGTTTCTCCGTCGTCTGACTCCCAGAATTCTCCATTTTGAGAGGGGGGAGGTCTGCAACCAACCAAACAAAAAAAAACTCACATCTTAAGCACCACCCATTCAAAAATCCCAATGAAAAAATGATAGATTTTAAAGTATTTTATTTGTTAAAATATTAAAAGGCACTATCAGGTTGTTTATAACCCGTGGTTTTGAAAATTCTAAGGTGAAACAATGATCTAAAACAATAAATTGAATGAAAAAATCATTCAAATCAGTGCTTAGTAAAAAAAGATAAAGTTAAAAACTAATTAATTAATTGAAGATGCAAAATCAGTGCTTAGAATAATACTCCCTCCGTCCTATAAAGATGAGTACGTTTTGACTAAAGTAGAAATTAAGGGAGGAATAATTTTGTGTTGACTTTCCAAAAATACCCTTGATGTGATGGGTAAAAGTATGATGTGATGTGTACATTATTAGGAGAAAGATATGATGTGATAGGTAGGGTTTGAAAAAGTAAGGGGTAAAAGTGGTTTTCTAATAGAAATGGGTAAGGGATTGTGGGACGCAATTTTTTTGAAACATGTAAATCTTTTTGGAACGGAAGGAGTAATATAAAAAATATATTACAGACCTAATTTCTTAGTAACAAATTGAAAACCATTAGCTCTATATTCTTTGCAGAGGATAACACTTCAGATCCAATAAAGAGACTACCACCAATCAGATCAGATAGTGTTCTCTATCAACAATTGAATAAACCAAACAATAATATATATATATATATATATAAGCGAAATATAGCGATGATAATCATCAAAGCCCCAATTTGAACATTACGGAGCCCCGATCAAAACCAACTGATGATCTTCGTCATCAAGCTGCGAGTTACTCTGACCTGAAAACCGCAGATCAAACGGAGCTTACCTGACGGCGGCTGCAACGACGACGACGAGGAGAATCGGTGGCGTGTCGAACGGAACTTAGAAACCCTAGCCTTGCCAACTCTAAATTCAAATTACACTCCCAACCCTCTTTGGCCCTGGCCCGCTCCTCTGAGGCATTACCAAAACAATGGGCTAAACCGGAAATAATTGTGAATCCCGAGGCTTCAAATTCAAAACGGGCCTTCAAACTCTTTTTCTCAAGTCAGCTTTAACTTACACCAAAAATTCACTGGAAATGGGTTTGAAGTCCCGAAGCTTCAAACAGGGGCTTCAAACCTTCATTTTTTACATTTTTAAATATACATCTTCTAAATTTAAATTATTAAATTTTAATTAATTTATTATTTAAATTAATCAAAAGTAGATTAGTATATTAAAAAAATTACATTCATTAAAAAAATATTACATTCATAGCAGAATACATTCATAAATAAGTTCCATTCATTAAAAAAATATCACATCCATAAAAAAATAACACTACAAAGAAATTACTAATTATTCGAGTAACTAAAAATATCTTCATTCAAATTCGAGTTGTAGTAAAATATTACAAAATGAAATAATTCATCAAATAAAAATTACAGTCAATAAAAAAAGTATGTTACATTTAATAAAAAACAAAACAAAATTACATTACTAAAAAAATTTAAACAAAAAAATATTACATTAAACAACAAAATATAGAGTAAAAAAATTATGTTTATGTATATTTTTTTTAAAGAGAGAGTGGGGAGGGGGGAGAAAGAGCTTTGAAGCTCGTTAAACATTTGAAGTAAAAGAAATGAAGCCCGGATAAAGCCCCAGGGGGCGGTGTTTAACGCCCCCTGGGCTTCAAAAGTAACATAACGCCGGGTGGCGTTACATGTATTACGAGTGGCCTAAAACCCATATGATTTTCAAATACTGTATGCCATTCTTTTTTCTCTATCATGAATTCTCACTCTTTTGTTTTCTTTTTTAATTTTTTTTGTTTATACAAATAAAAAAAATAATATATACACGATTCATCTAAAATTTGATTTTTTTTAATTATTAAAAAAATAAAAGAATTTTTTTAAAGCTATTTTTAACCAATAACTTTTAAAAATAGAAAGAACTTTAACGTTTTTCTGTAAATCACGATGATCTTGATGCTATTAACCCCCAAATCATTTTCAAATAGGTTAGAACGAATTATAAACTCACTAGAATCTTATTTGGGATAGATAAGAAAAAGTGAAAAGATTGAGTTGTATGAATCATCAATTTTGTCAATAGAGCACTTAAAGCGCTCTAAAAACACAGTGACACTAGTGATCAGTGTCAACGGAGTCGTGTCTTTAAAAAAATAACAGTCCTAATAAGATTTATACATTGAAGGATGAAAAGTTTAGTGGGAGCTAGATTTGAAAATTCTGATAGTAATAATGAAACATTGTAAAACAAGTTTTACTCGTTTGACAACAACCTTTTTTAAGCCAACACTCTCCAGGATTATTTCTTCAACATGACTCGCATGTTGGGTGCTTCCACTTCCTCGACCTATCAGAAACTGACTGTGTTTGCACAGATTTCCCCTTCTTGGAGTATTGCGAGTTGCTAGGTCCTTGGAATGGTCTTTTCCCACTTGGGCAGAACTTCCAGGTCGACGATCACTTGGACTACCACCTTCCCTCTCTAAGTACTCCTTGTAGACATTCTGTAATGCCCTGAAATATATCTTAGAACTCTATAAAGAATTTTTAATAAATTGTATTTTATATTTTCGTTTCAATTAAATAAACGTCGAAAAGGAAATATTAAGATAGGGTATATTTAAGTAATCTTTTTATCGTCAAGTTTATTCTCAAATTAAAGGTCTCATCGAGACGAGTCCAACTACATACTCCCTCCGTCCCAAATTATTTGCAACATTTGTATTTCCGAGGCAAAATATCAAGTTTTTTCAATTCATTTTATTTACATATTGGTAAAGAAATAAAAAATAAAATTTACATATAAAAAAACTACATGAAAAGTTCTTCGAAATAAGAGGTGTCAAGAATATTTTATTTTATCAAATAATCAATGAAAACGTTGAAATAAACAAAAGTTCCCGACACTGCTGAAAAAGCAAATGTTGTGAATATTTTGGGACCGAGGGAGTATTACTTGTCGAGTTTTAGAATTATGTGTAAAAAGATGTGAACAAATTAAATAAATAAATAAATTAAATTTACAAGATAATATTATAATATTATTATATTAGGTAATTTACCTAAATTGGACTAAAACATAATGACTTTCTCAATATAGGACCATATGTTTTGATTTCTCAATATAGGACCATTGGTCATTATCTATTAGTCATTATCCAACTAAATGTCCAACATCACTTGGACATTATTCTTCTCACTAGTCATTAATAAGTCCTATTTAGAGAATAAAAAAGTTTAAGTCCTACATTGAGAAATGACTTATGTTTTAGTCTTATTCAGTATAAATATTACTACTCCGTATTATATTACTCCAAATCCAAGGCGGATTCGTACATCCCTAACCCCAAGCCATTAAACTTCTTATAATCCTAAATGAGAAATGCTAGAGTCACAATACTTTGGTCACAAAATACACAAAATAAATCTACCCAAATAACCCTGTCCCCATCCGTATATACTACTTCCTCCATCCTAGAGTATTTGTCCACTTTCATTTTTATATACATCCAATTCACTTCTTTGATCCATTTTATCTTGTAATTTGTATATTAAAAATTATAGAAATTATATATTAATAATCTATATGTTAAGACAAATTAAACAAGATACTATATTTAGATTACACATTGAGAATTTGATGAGTGGGAACCATTCAAAAGTAAAGTGGACAAAAACTTGTGGAGCACTACGGAGTATTCACCTTCACCATCTCCTCTCCATCTCCATCTCTCTGTACTTTGCCTTGTTCAACGTTCCGCAAACCGGCAGCCAGGGAGGGGGGTCGCCCTTCGCCGTCCTCTTCCCTCGTCTTCTTCGTCGCGATCAGAGCCATCTCCGGCGTCTAGCAACTGACGCCCTTCCCGTGCGCAAATCGGAAGTCCGAAGAGGGACAGTGGCAGCGGATTCACCTTCACTCCAATATTTGACTTCTTCCATTAATTAAGGCGAGTGATTTATCTTCCGTTAGAATCAATTCGCAGATCAGTATTCGTTAATATATTTTCGTTCAATTGGCGTTAAATTCGTGATTATGGTTATTGAATTGGGTGATTGACTGGGTTGTAATGGAATTTGGATTTTGGGAATGATAAATTTGGTTTGGGGTCTGTTCAATTCTTCTTCTTCCTCTATTTTCTCTATTGTTGGATCTGCTCCCATGGGGCTACGGCCCATGTCTGTGGAAACGCATAAGGGAGGGGATTAAATGGTTAAATAAATGATTTTAAGTGCTAAATAGGCATTTTGTAAACCACTGAATTCCAATCAATTGTTGTTACTTGTTACCCCCATTCTACCTTACTATGAATCTTAGTCCATGATGGTGTCATACCATTCTGAAATTTCCAAGAGTTTCTCAATCGTCCAAGCCAAGAACATGATAGAATAACAAGCTATATTTGTTAATATTTAACCAACAAGCAAGGAGCCCCAAAACGAAACATAAAACATGTTTGAATCCCTAAATTATAATCTCTACTATACAGTTACTACATTGTGACTAGTGTGGCATACATTAACATCTCTGTTCTTAGGTTCTTTCTATAGGTAAACATGTGCACTTCTTGAATCTCACCAACATCTCAATTCATCATCATTAACACTTTAGCCATTCTTGCACTCCTGCTTTCTTGCTAGAGCTTGGGACAATCACCCAATTCATCCCTTGCGTGCCTCGCAATTTCCATGTGAAAAAAAACGCAGTACATTCTATTGATGCATCGCTTAAGCATGCACTTTAATTTCTTCCTGTTCAAACTGCATAGCAAACAGAGATATTAAGGTAGTTGATGCATAGCATTAACGCTAGTAAAAGCAAACACCATGATTTTTACAATTAGACTAACGAAGACATTTTGGATCTACGGTCACTATCAATAAGGGCAGTATATAAATTTCATAAATGAAAACCTTTTAGACATTATAGTGTGTACAAAGACAATGTAATAACACAAGAATCATAGAACTAAGAAAAATTTATTTAATCATCTTTTAAGAGGTGGTATACTCAAAGTCCATTGAACAACTCACTTTTCACAAAAGATCCATATATAACATCAATGACAGTAAAACCATTATCGTTTTATAGCAATTTCAGTAAGTTGGACATTATAAAAATAAAATACCTTAACAGGGATGACAATTCCAGAAGGATGGTTATTAAGACATTTTTTAGATGGTAAAGATACAACAGTTTATTACACTGATGGTAGTACTATGGAAATAGGCTGCATGCACTTTAGACTTTTTTTAACCCACAAAATTGGTACTTGTTAAAATGCACTTGTTTGGAAAAGCCTTTTGGCAATTCGTCATTCCACAAACAAAGTCATCCCAGTTGGGTACTTACCTCACCCACTCAATTCAGCTTGATAAATGCAATGTGGTTTGAGAACAATGAAAGATAAGATCATGAAATTTGAGCACAATATTCTCTTCATGGATATAGATGAAGGGAATAGTGAGTATTGCATCACTGAAATTCAGCCACTCATTTCTCATATGCACAAAAAATTGTAGCAGTTCCTAGACATTCCATCTCTTTCAGCTTTTTATACAATACAACTAACCTATGGTTTTTCTTCACACCCATAATCACTAAATTCAGGCACTTACCCTCCTTGAATTAAGCTTCACCAGCATTTTTTTTCTTTGCGGAGTTCAAATCAGGATGTCATTGAATTTCCTGTTCTTCTGCCGCAAAAATCTCAAGTTCTGCAAAGCCTCTAACTAAAGTTCTCACCTCAATATAGCTTTCAAATATCTGGAAGACTGGAACCTAAGTTTTGTGTGGAAGCCATAGAAAATAGAATATCAAAAGGTGTCTGATGCGATATGGTAACACGATCAATGATGGATGTCAATTCGAATTCCTTCCTTTTCTGTAGCTAGTCCCCCTAAAATTAGCCAAGATATATAAAGTTGAAGAAGATAAGTAATGAATAAAATTTAAATGGGAATGTATTGATACAAACATGGTAAGAAAGCATGATTCTTTTAAGAAATACAACCAATACATAGATAAAAACGTAAGCAATGGGCACAGACCAAGCTAGTTAATTATGTATGTGCAACATCTGTTTTTCAACATTCATATAACGCCACTTCTTAGAAGAAGTGGTTAATCAAACTCGTCCAACAATGATTGCCTTATATTGTCATTGTCCTTGAATCCTTGTTCTTTCATATCCTCCCCAGCAGGCCCTCTTTGTTTGAACCATTCTATGCATAAAGAATTTTTTTTCACAACATGCGATGTTAATGCGCAATCCAACTTTGTGTAGTTAATTTCATCCAGAAGACCGTATAGATTGGGATGGCACCCAAAAGGCATTGCAGAAATTGATTGGTGTAAAATGCAGAAAAATAAAATGCTTGGAGATACCTCGAAATAAAATGCTGTGGAAATAGAATGCAGAGAGAATCGGTGTAAGTGTGGATCGAAAGGGCTGCTATATATGGTGCAGGAACCGCCAATGGTATATTTGTGAAAAGCAGGGAAATTGGAAAGATGGTAAGAGAGAGATATTGATGAAAATATGCATGGCAATAGAAAGCAAGGAACGAAGGAAAAGCAAGAGAGATGAGGGAATTGAAATGGGTGAAGGATATGTTTATGCTCGCCTACAATTTATAGAGTGACATTATTGTAACCTACCAACTATTTTGTCTAGACATGCGGAAAAAAACATATACCATTTCATTTTCTTTTTATATATAGTAGGATAGGATGGTGGTAAATTGGTTATTAGTAATTCTTCAAAGAGGTTATCAGTTACTTTGGGAAAAGAAATGTGAGGAATCTTGGGTTTGATTCATCTATCTTTGCTGGAGCCATTACAAGTGGAGAATAGACACACTAGAACCTACACAGATCTTCTGTAAAGACCCGAAAACCGGCTCAGTAGTTAGCCGTTATTTTAGTAAAAAATAAATAAATATAGTATTTTCTTACAATTTATGACTCAAAAATATGAACTATTTGTAAAGTTATTCATCTTAATTAAAAATTAGATTTTTGGATAGATCTCGTAAAATGGTGACAGTATATAGTTTGCTAAATTTAGACATACGTGTAAAGTATGGCAAGTAAAATAGACATTATAGTTCGAAAAATAAATATAAAGAATTTTATAATATAATATAATATAAAATTCATATTCAAATCTACGGCAACTTTGGTTTCCAATTCTAAATGTGATTCTAAATAGGAAATGAATTACCTTCAAAAACCCCATTTTCCTAATCCCAATTCGAAGCAAAACCAGACCTACCCTATAATATAAAGGAGAAAAGTGCATCGTTTACCCCGAAATTATTTAAAAATTACACGGTTTACTTTCGAACATTAAAAAGTGCACCAAATATCCCTCAATTCTTCAGAAATTGTATGGTTTACCCCTGAACAAAAAAAATCGCACCAAATATCCCTGGACTCTTCGAAAATTGTACTGTTTACTCCTGAACATTTAAATAAAGACGACAATTTTGGGGAAGGGTACTTTGGAGAATTTACAAGGGTAAGATGAATCATACTCGCAATTCTTGTGCGTGGAAGCAACGCACTCCTTATCTAACAGTTTAGCACCAACGATGCAACGGTTTAATTTGTTCAAGGATATTTGATGCATTTTTTAGTGTTCAGGGTTAAATCGTGCAATTTTCAAAGAATTCGAGGATAAACGATAAATTTTCAAAGAATTCAAGGTAAATGGTGCAATTTCTAAAGCCTCTTCGCCTATATAAAGTACACGAAGTGTTCTGTAGGGACTAGGGAGTCACAACATTCTGAGTCTTCTTCGGCTACTATCACCGACCGAACTAGAGGACAGAGGAGTTCGCCGGAGAGAAATTCGCCGGAAAACTACGCCGGAATCCAATCGCTGATTCATGATTCTTCACCAAATTCTTCGAGGTGAGTTATTTATCTCTCGTTAGAGTTAATTCATAGATTAGGGTTCGTTGATATATTTTCGTGTAATTGATGATGAATTTGTGAATTGAATTGTTGAATTAATTGATTGAATTGAATTGAATTGGGAGTTTGTACTTTTCTTGCTCGGTTCTGCTCTATTGCATTGCCCTTTCTCTGTTCCTTTCCTCGCTCTGCTCTGTTCCTCGCCCTTTATCTCTCTGTGCCGCTGATTCGCTGAGGGAGAAGTCGCTGCCGCCGGACTGGTGCTGGGCCGCCGGTGATTTGCTACTGGGAACGGAACAGGAAGTTCGTCCTGTTGCCATCGGAGGAACTGTTCGGCCGCTGCTGTTTTGGCGTGGAGCTGCTGGTCGCTGCCGGAGTCGCTAGGATGCCGGCCAAGTTCCTGCTCGCCGACCGGAACTACACTAAGAAGAAGATGCAAGTCGCAATGCCCAGATCGGAAACAACATTTAGTTTTAAAGGAATTGCAATTGACCCTAGAATTTCTAATTGGTTGCAACTAATTCCCTTTTTTACAATTTGATGCCAAATAAAGTAATGAATACAAATTAGCCAAAAACTTCTAAACTATTGAATTGTGGATATTTGTGTGTTGAATTGAAACTATGGAAATATGCCATCCGGTATATCTAGGAAGGTCCTAGTTAAAGCAAACTCACAAAGATTAAGATCTAGGATTTAGGCCTGGTGGGGCGAGCTTCGCATAACTCACGGGTCTTAGGTTAAAAACGTACGTACGGGAGTCATTAGCCTACCTAGGGATTCCTTTGTAGGGGCTCCAACCCGCCCATTGAGGATTCTCTTTGGGTTTCATGAAGCGTGGCCTTGAGTGATCCGTCCGAGTGTCCATGACGTAGTCAAAAGGAACCTTAGCCTATAGGGTTAAGTGTAGAAGAACAACAAGAACTGAATATAGGTAAATAAATAGCTGATCATGATATTCGCCAATGATATTTGCTGATTCTTCTGATATTGTGTGATTATAGATTGATGGGTACTAGTCTATGAGTTAGTTATAGCGTTAGATACTTCCACTCTCCCTATATTTTTACCGGTAGGGGTTAAGGATTGAATGAGGAGCAGCTTGGAGGACAATGAAGCGTGACGCTGGTGGATGACCGAAGCTGTTTTGAAATAGAATTAATTGTTTATTGACTTTATTTTGTTTAAACTACAAGAATGTTGGATGATGTTGTTTTAAAGGCTTCCGCAACGTTGAATTATTTACTCCGATTAATTATGAATTGTTTTTAAACAAATGTGAATTGATATTTTCTTATTAAATGTTTTAAAAATATTGTGCATGTGAATACCAAATTAGTAACAACTCGATTCGCTAACTTGTTGGTTCGGGTTATGCGGGTTGGGATGTTTCATCTTCATGCAGCACAGATTTTATTTCCTGATGATTATTCACAGTTTATTTTCTTATGAAGAGCTCAAGCTTATCAGTTTCCTTCGTGTTTTGCAGGTTACCATGAATTATCAGCCAGTTAAAGACTTCTTGGGCTTGCTGTATATGGCCTATTCAGTCCGTGGAGATGTAAAGGTGTTAGATCAAATTGGACGACGTATTTCTCCACAGTTGGAAGCTCTCATGGTACAAGTATTAAATGACAAGGTAAAGGAAAAGTTATTATTATTATTGTTGTTGTTGTTGTTGTTGTTGTTATTATTATTATTATTATTATTATTATTATTGTTATTATTATTATCATCATCATCATCATCATCATCTTAAAAATAGCAGTGCAGTTTGTATATGTGTTTAATTTGTCTTAATTTTGTATACTTTTGAGGCGTTCCCAAGGCTGATCTTCGAAGGAAAATCATAATGTGTCGGGCCAAGTTGACACAAATATTTGAAACTGATTTGGTATTTGAGGTATATATACAGTTAACAGAGGGAAATGACAAATCTTCACACTCAAGTGTGTATTTATTTCCATGCTAAATGTGTTGCATGCATAAGACGATACTGAGATGATTAACTTTTATTTGTCCGTGTCGGGAGAAATTGAATGGATGGAAGACAACATTGTTATCATTGATGGGATCCAGAAGCTTGCTTCTTCAACTGTCTTTCCCAATGGAATTATTGAAAACCAACTCCACGCTATTCCTTATGACCCAGCCATCCATGAGGGGGTGAATGTCCCATTTGTTTGGTACATTTTTTTTATTTTTGAAATTTGCGTTATATACATTGTCTGCTTAGTTATATGATTTCCTGTTTATGACTTTGATGAATTAAGGAAGAGTACAAAGATGGAGAGAGCTCACTAAGCTGCACTATTGTGGTCATGGGTTCCATTACGCTTGCATGTTGTTAGCCTTGCAGGTGAAGATCATGTGCCCACTGTGTAGAGAAGTAGCACTCTATTTGAAATGCTGAACTGTTAGCTAGAATGTGACAACGTTAGAAAGATTTGGAGTCTCTAAATAAAGTAATTAGTCAAAATAAAGTAATTAGTCAAATAATAACAACATTAGTTGCTGCTGTCATTACATTGTTCCTTCAATCCCAAACCAGTGTTGGAGAATTTGCAAGTATAACAGCACGAAACCAGTTAAACGGGGAAGCAAATGAGTGTGAGAAAACAGCAGCAACTAATGTTGTTATTATTTAACCAATTACTTTGTTAAGAGACTCTAAATCTTTCCAACGTGTTTGTTCAACATTTCAAATAGAGTGCCACTTCTCTACACAGTGGGCACATGGTCTTCACTTGCAAGGCTGACACCATATATGCAAGCGTAATGGAACCCATGACCACAATAGTGCAGCTTAGTGAGCTCATCTCCATCTTTGTACTCCTCTTTAATTCACCGAAGTCAATAAACTGGAAGTCATATAAATAAGCAGACAATGTGTGTAACGTAAATTTCAAAAATAAAATTAAAAAAAATTGTACTAGACAAATGAGACATTCACCCCCCTCATGGATGGCTGGGTCGTAAGGAATAGCTTGGAGCTGGTTTCAATAATTCCCATTGGGAAAGGCAGTTGAAGAAGCTTCTGGATCTCATCAATGGTAACAATGTTGCAATGTTGTCTTCCATCTATTTAATTGCTCCCGGTACGGACAAATAAAAGTCAATCATCTGGTATCGTCCTATGCATGCAACACATTTAGCATGGAAATAAATACACACTTGAGTGTGAAGATTTATCTTTTCCCTAGTGTATATATACCTCAAATAGCAAATCAGTTTCTAATATTTGTGTCAACTTGGCCCGACACATTATGATTTTCCTTCGAAGATCAGCCTCGAAAACGCCCCGAAAGTATACAAAATTAAGACAAATTAAACACATATACAAATTGCACTGCTATTTAATTTATTTTATTTACAAATTGTTACATCAATAAAAAACAAAAATTACATGTTAAAAATTATATTAAAAATTTTACAAAACAAGAGCTAACAAGAATATTTTATTTTATCAAATACTCCCTCCGTCCCACTATATTTGTCTATTTTCATTTTTGCACACCATCTAATGCACTTTAATCCATTTTATCTTGTAATTTGTATATTAAAAAATTATAGAAATTATATATTAATAATCTATATGTTAAGACAAATCAAACAAGATCACGCATGACTATATTTAGGCTTACACATTGAGAGAATTTGATGAGTCAAAGCGCTTAGATGAACAATTCCAAAAGTAAAAAATCGACGAATATAGCGGGACGGAGATAGTAATCCATTAAAACACACAAACAAATAAAAGTTATCGAGAAAAGAGAAAAAATAAAATTGCAATCAAAATAGGGACAGAGTGAGTATAAATTATATTTGTATTTAGAAAAATGGGCTATGTTTAATTATTAAAGTAATTTTTAATTTTTTAGTGTATTATTAACTCAATTGTTATAATGTAACATCTCCTTATGCTTTTCTCAACCTAATTACTTGTTGTCTTGGAGAGTTGTCTTCCTGCCACCAAGGGTGCATGAACATTGTTGGGAATGGGGACAATTGTGTCCGATGACTTTCAATTTTTTTACGAGCAGTGCTAGGTTCACAAACACTATACTCACAAACTTTACAAACTTATTATTTATGATTTAAAGTTTTATTTTAAAATCATTGTAGACCATTTAATTTTTTCATTGAACTTCACAAATAGTTTATGAAGTTTGTGATTATTGTGTTTGTGAACCAAACATTTCCCTTTTTTTACAGAGTAATAAATACCCTATTTTAAAAAATAATACTCCGTAATAAATATGCCCACATTAAAAAAAATCACATGCTTCATTAATTTCTCAAGCCTCACTTGCTTAAAAAATAGGTCAATGCATTTAAAATCTTTAGTTGAAAATTAGTTTTGGTAATATATACTCCTTTCATCCCAAAAAGATGTCCATTTTATTTTTTGCACATTCCATAAAATACTTTTATTTTGTCTCAAATGCCAAAAATTTTTACAACAACTTCCACCCACAATAAAAGATAAATGTGGTTAATTTTAGGCATTTTAGATGTGGATAGAAATGTTTTATGTGTAGTAATTTACAATATTGAGATGAAATTTATCATTATTTTTATCGTTCCACATTATCCTTTAGAAAATTACAGGGTTGCTACATTATCTGCCCTACTATTCTTGCACCCAATCTTTCCATTTTTGAATTCGTCACTGTAATTTTATATTATTATTATTATTATTATTATTATTATTATTATTAAATTGATGTACTCCGTAATTTTTATCCACCTAACTAAAATCGCACGAAATTCTTGCATGCGTACATATAGCACCCACAATTTCTAAATAATAATGTAGTGATAAATGTGAGAAATAACACTCTACTCATTTTCTTCCAAAATAATAGTCTCATTTATGTTTTGATCTTCCGATAACTTTTATATACTCCTTTCGTTCCTAAATCATTTATTCTTTATGTAAAACGAAATAAAAGCTCGAGCTTTTTCAATTCATTGAATTTAAAGATTGGTATATAAATAAAAAATAAAACTTACATATTTAAAAAGTACTTCAAATGTTCTACAAAACAAGATGTGATAATAATATTTTATTTTTCTCAAATAGTCAATAAAAATACACAAATAAACAAAAATTTTTGCAGTTTTTGAATAGTGAAGTTTGTAAATAGTTTAGGGACAAAATTAGTATTTGACAAAACATGATATTTTTGTCACACCTTGTTCTGTAGAATTTTAGATATATTTCGTAGTTTTTAAATATGTAATTCAAACTTTTTATTTGTATATTAATTTATATTTAAAATATATTTTAAAAGAAATTGGGAGTCTGTTTGAGAACAACATTAGAGATTAGCGTGAGCATTTTGGATAAAATTTTAACGGTACAGATTGCTTTGAAAACGCCGATGTTTGATGCTGCCCGTAGACAGTCTTTTCAAAACGGTGACACTAATCTCTGATGTTATTCTCAAACAGGCCCTGGATTGTACACATTGTTGGAATTAAAATGATAGTTTTGTTTTGGGAGGAACTAGGGATGTGTGGATCGGAACGAGAATTGCGTTTGGCTTGTGGCTAGATGGCTTCCTCGCAATTAGGAATCATCCATTCAACTAATTAATTATGCCCCCTAGCTTTATTTACAGGCTGCATTACACTAATTAATTACTTCACTCCTCCTAATCACCATTTATATAGCCTATTAATTAAATCCCTTGATTCAATATACGGAGTAATTGCATATGTATATATAGATCCTTTCTTAGGTTCCAAGAGTAAAATCGTTCATTCATTTGGGAGAATGGGAAGAGAAAAAGGTAATTATAATAATAATAATAATAATAATAATAATAATAATAATAATAATAATACAAAGAAGATGAAGAAGAAAAGAGGAAGAGAAGACGAATCGACTGGGACGAGCAGTAACCGCAAAAAAAGCGCGAAAAAGCGCAACATCTCGTCGTCCCACGGAAACGAGCCGTCGGGGGCGGGCGGGGTGTTCGACTTCCCGTGGTCCCGAGACGGGCCCACGCCGAAGGGGTACTATAACGAAGGGTACGACGACGCGGAATGTCGCTTGGAATTCGACGACTTGTTTGCGGGACGTTGCGATCTCGGCCTCGATAATTATCACTCCCCGTTTTTCGTGCCGGCGAGCGATTTTCCGGCACGCCGGACGGCGGCGACGGGGTCGGATGAAAGGGACGGTGGAGATTTGCCGAATCTGCATGGGGAGATTGTAGACCAATCGTTGGATGGGATTTGGAGTTCGGTTCTTGATCATCCCCTTCATGATAATATTATTAGCTTATAATAAATAATAATTTTATTTTGAAAAAAAAAAAAACAAATTTTGGATTGCTTATATATGGAGTATATATAATACTACGTATATATTTGTGCTAAGTCAATATTTTTTTTAAGTTCATGTCATCACTAGGATCAGAAATTCAATATTTTACTAAAAAAAAATTTGAGATTGCATAATTATGACTAAACTTCCATGATTTAAATATTTTTACACGATTACTCCAAGATTTTATATTGATCTCAGAATTCCAAAAGTATTGAGAATTCATGTACCCATACACTATTTTTTTTTTTGGAGTATTGTTGTAAGAGTTTGAATTTCTGTGAGCGTTAATAAGTATAAGTATACTCTGTAATCTTGGATTATTTTTGTAAAATCTTAAATTTTTGGGAGCTTTATTTTTCCTTTTTTATTAAAAAATTCTTATATTTTATTCTTATTATTAGATTAGGTTATTTCTTGAGAAAAAGACTAAATTAGGAGTAAAATATTGAAAATATACCAAAATAGAAGTTCCATGTTTTTAATATTGAAATATGAGTTAAAATACATTTACATTACCAATCATGACCATGTATATTATAAAAAAGTATAGTAAAATCCACATGTACACTACCACATTACCAGAGTGCAAACTGCTATTTAAGAAATAAAAACATAAAACTCATATTTAGGTAATTTCTCTATGTTTTTTTCCTCTATTTAGCGTGATTTCTTTTATTCCTCTTGTAAAAAATAGACTAGGGACTTGTTTAGAAATAACTTTGGAGTTTTGAGTTAAAGTTTAAAATTAGAGTTTAGAGGTAGTGATTAACTGTTTGTATTAGAGTTAGTGGTTAGCTGTTTAATTTTTTATAGTTTGCTAATTGAAAATTTAAAAGGGCTAAAGGGTTAAAAATTAGTGTACTAGAATATACCCCATTGAACATGTACTATTTAAATGAGCGATAGTTATCTAGTGGGCGAGTAAACTGGCTTAGAAGAGAAGTACTAGCTAGTATGTAACTATTTTGGATCATATTTTTTTAAGAAAATAAAAAAAGAAAATATTATTTTGGAAACAAGGCAATTACTTTGGTGTTCTTTAGATCCATGCTAATTTATGAAATTTAATATATAAAATGATTATATATATTAGCCCGTAATAAAAGATTTAATTATATATGAATTTATGAAAAATATGTTAGAAGGTCCACGATTTACATGTGGCCTTAGTCATAATAGCACAACTCTTAGAACAAATAAAAAAAAGTGCTTCTAGCTCTAAAGCACTTTATAAAAAACTATTGGCTTACACTTAGATTATGATAAATTTTAGATCATGGTTAGAAGAGTGAACTTGGAGATGAAAAACATAATTATGATACTAACTAAAATGGCTAAAGGGGAGTTCCCCTTCAAGTATCTTGGATGCCCCATCACAACATCAAGAATTGGATAAAAAGAATGTGATAGGTTGGTTGATAAACTCACAACTAAAATCAATTCTTGGATTTCCAAATAGTTATCATAATAATTAAGCAAGGTAGTGTTTGGGGTGGTGACTTTTTGGTCCAAAATTTTTTGTTATACCAAACAAAGTCATGAAAAGGATTCAAGATGTATGTAGAAACTTTCTTTGGGGTTCTTCACCTATGTATAAGAGATGCCCTTGATAGCATGGGAGGATGCTGTGTGCCTTTCTAAGGGAAATGGTGGATTATGAGTGAAGAATAATAGGGTCAAATGGAAGATTCCACTGTGCAATGAAGCTTGTTTAGAAGATTGCTCTGGATTAAATGGATGCACCATAGGTATATAAAACAAGACACAGTATGTGAATATAAGATTAAAGTGGATACCTGCTCATACTCGAAGAGAACACTAAAGGTTAGAGATGAATTCAAGAATATGATTGTTGTGGCCTGTGGGTGATTATAAAACCAAGGATGGGTACAATTGACTTATGGGGGAGATAGACCAGACCAGACGTGGGTTGGGATAATATTGTATGGAATAATTGGTCCCAACCCAAGCATCAGGTGGTGTGGCCTAGCTAATCTGGAAAGGAAGATTACAAATCAAATGCAGATTGAGCAGATTCTTGCAAATTGATACAGGTTGTGGACTTTGTGAAAAGATGAAAAAGATTTGGATCACCTCTCCTGCACTGGTTTTTACGCTTCAAAGATCTTGAATTGGGCGAAGTATCTACACGGGCTGGAATGGATATCAAAGTATTGTCCTTAAGAGATATGGAAGTGAGGCTGGTTACCAGAAAAACCCGGAAGGAGAGGACGCTGAAAGATGTCATCTTTAATGTTTGTTGTAATTATATCGTACAGCCGGATGTACGGGAAGAACCGTACAGACGATTGAAGAAGGCGCAGCAGATGCAGACGATCGAAGAAGGCCGGCGAAGGAGAGGCAACGACAAAGGGAGGCGCGGGGAGGAGGCCAAAACGATGGAGAATGTCAGAACGAAGGCGATGGTGGCGGCGGCTTTACAGTAGAAACCCTAGAACTGAAGTTGAAGAGATAGAAGAAGGTCCTACTAAAGATCTGGCTTTACAGTAGAAACCCTAGCGATGAAGAAGAAGCTGGTAGTCAAATTTTCAATTATGAAAGAATTGAACAATACCTTATTTCAGAATGAGCATTTTTTTTATTTGAGAATGAGTATTGTTTTTTTTATAAAATGAATACTATGTTACTTATCATAATTATATTAGACAAATTTGTAAAAATGAGTACTTCTTTATTTTAAAATGAGTACTACCTTTGTCAGAATCAGTACTACGCATTTTGAAATGAATGTTTATATTTGTATAAGAATGAGTACTACTTTATTTCAAAATGAGTACTACACGGATGTACCTATTTCTAGGTACATCCGGATGTACCATATACCAACTCGTTGTTACACTGTATGGAGAGCTAGAACTAGAAATAGCAAGGTCTATCAGAAAGAAGATGTGATGTGTTTCTAGAGAGAAGTGTAGAATAGTAGGGTAGAGTGATAAGGGTTGGTGATTGTAGGGGCTTTGTGGTTGTAATTTGGTTGCTGTTTATTAAATAAATATACACTTTGTTAAAAAAATGAAGTGAAACCAAAAGATACTCCTTTCATTAAAAAAATCTTACAATTACTATTTACATAATCAATATTTTTACTATGTTTGTTTATGTTCTTTACTGGTTTGATTAAATAAAAAATCATTTCACATATCATTTTTTAGAATTTTTAATATAGTTTTTAAATATACAAATTTAATTGTATGTCAATTTTAAATCTACGAGTAATTGAATTTAAAACACTTTTCCTTTCGAAAAAAATCAAATAATTTTGTGTTAGAGTATTTACGAGTATTTATTTTTTGTTAGTATTTGAGATTTTGAAAGAAAGAACAAATGTTAGGGGTGAGCGTGGTACGGTATGGTACGGTATTTCGCTCGTACCAATACCGTACCAAATATTTCGGTTTGGTATGGGATTTTACGTTGTACCGATCCCGTTGCCGAAGCATCGGTTCGGGATGGTTCGGTATCGGTTTCAGTACAAATCGGGATGAATATATACGTACTTAGTTTACATCATAAAATGTAACAAAACCTTTTATTTTTGGGAAATTAAAAGTACATTTAACCAAACAAAGATTAAAAAAAATTAAAAAATGAAAAAATAAAATACAAGTAATGCTTATGAAAGTTAGTTTATATTTCACATACTAAGGAGAACGAGTGATAATAAAGTATTATTTCAAATATTTTTTAATATTCTTATACTCATCTACAAAAAATAAAAAACTCTTACTAAAGTGCAATTTAAACATAATGAAATTAAACTAAATTGTCTATATAAATTTTTTATTTAATGAAGAAATATAAAAAGATTATTATTTTTAAAATATATTAGTATATATGTTCGGTTCGGGAATTTCGGTATGAGAAGTAACCTTGTACCGTTCCCAAATACCAGACTGACCGTTCGATTCGGTACGGTTCGGTTTCTTTTCGGTACTTTATCGGTTCGATATTTTTCGGTTCGGTATTCTCGCTTTTTTTTGGGAAATATCCTTCCTCACCCTTAACAAATGTTGTGGCGACAAGTAGCCTATGATTGCGCTCTCCTTGGTCCTTAGAAGATCCTTCTCTATTACTTCATCATCATTTTAGTTCTACAAACATCAACCTTTATGTTCTAATCGCACGCCCCATTTTTCCTTTCATCATTCTTTTTTCCCAATTTCGTCTTTAATTATCCTAATCACTCTCCAATATATATATACTTCCTCGCCGACACGCTCGTCTCTCTCTCTCCCCTCTCTCTCTCATTTCCCAGAATTCTCTATTTTCCAAGAATTCCCAGAAGCTCAGAGGGGGGAATTGGCTACCAGTCTTCATTATTGCGGGAGATCCGTGACAAGAACGAAGAGAAATATCATAAAGCTTCGAGCTTTACAGATTACAGTGCTTCTGAGGAGGAAGAAGAAGAAGGATGAGGCTGAGGAAACCGATGATGTTTTTGCTTGTCGTGACGGTTCTTGCCCCAATCGTCCTCCATACTCGCACTCTCACCACTTACTTTACTTCCTCTTCTTGTAAGCTTTGCTTCCTGATTCTGTTTTTCATCTGGGGATTGTTAGATTAATGTTCTCATGTGTGTATTTTATGGGTTTTCTTTCTCAGCCCGGAATGAATTTGTTGAAGATGTGTCCAGCTTTGTAAGTCTCGGCATGCTTGAAAACTCCCTCGATTTACAAAAAAAATGATTCTTTTTTGTTGTTGTTCATTTGTAATGTTTCTTGGATTTTGATTGTGGCACATTATTGCAGACATTGGGTGGTGAAATCAGGCATTTGAATGTGCTGCCTCAGGTATCAAATTAGCTTGAGTTTTGCACATTTATTTGTGGATTTGAATTTGGTTTGGGTTTTCTTTGTGGCATGTTTTTCAGTTTATTGATGTTGTAACTACCATTCAAATTGAATGTGTCTACAGGAGTCTGATAAAGTCATGAAGGAACCAGAAGGTGTTGTTCATTCAGAAAATTTAATTCTTCCCCTCTCCCATGGATCGGATGCTCTAAGAGAGGAAAATTCACGTAAAGCCCGACAGCTTGCTCAAGGTTTTTGCTTAGGCTACATGTAGTAGCTTTACCCAGCTTGTTTGGTTATTTTTTTCAGAATAAGCAGCTTTTTTACTTGCTTATTTGGCTGAAATGGATGTCGCTGACTTGCAGTACTTTTTATTTCAGAAAATTCATCCATTTATTCCAACTAACTCTTACTAAACATATTCTTAATTTCATTGTTGTGCATGTTTTGAAACTATGTTGAATCACATATTTCTGTGCTTTCTACAATTTGTGATTCATATAACAGAATTACTGGAAAATGAAAAGACCAGATCTTATACCGGGAACAGCATTGGGGGATCTGAAAAAGCAAAGGTCGAGAATCCCATGAGGCAGGTGACTCTTGATGGGCATGTAGCACATCAGGAGGACAAAGATTCAGTAAAACCTGCAACAAATAGGGCAACCCGAAACACTAGTAGAGCTCATACAAGGGAAACCAACCACACATCAGACAGTTCATCAGCAGATATCGTAAGTTTATAACTTCTTTTATTAGCTATTTTAAAAGTGTCAGCTTATATATCAATTTATTTAATGCAATTATGCTAATCACAACGAATATGTAATGTCTTATTTTGTGTTAACTACAAGAAAACAAGACAGGATCAGCATAATTCTCATCCCTCTGGTAGGGTTGTTCCTGTTAGGAACATCTCTACGAGTCAGACCAACCAAGTGGGACCACCGCCAGATAATCTTATTCGCCAGCTTAAAGATCAGCTTATCAGAGGGAGGGTTTACCTTTCACTCTCAGCAACAAGTAAAAACACCCATTTCATAAGGGAACTCCGATTGCGTATGAAGGAAGTTCAAAGAGTGGTTGGTGTTGCTACAAAGGATTCTGAGCTACCGAAGAAGTAAGTGTTCTAATATGTATGGGTCTATTATTTAGTGAAATTTATTATTGTGTTGATCCCCCAAGTGTTTTCAACCATGCAATGTAGTCCCTCATTTTCATCTTAAAAATTTGTCATTTAAGCCTTTCTTACCATAAAAATTGAGTCATACTACGGGTTCATCGTTTACAATTTCATTGAATCGTGCATTTGTTTTTCTCTCTCAATAGCGATGTGCCCATGTTGACATTAAGCTGTGTGAGACTGAACAAACTGCTGTTTTTAGACAATTGAAGGGCTAAATTGCTCTGATTTGATAGTGAGGAACTTTAATACAGAATCATGAACAATTGAGGAGCCAGAATTTGTATTTTATTTTTACCTCTTTATGCAAGATTTTTTTATATATATGTATTTTCATTGTAGTGCCCATGAGAAGTTGAAAGCAATGGAGCAAACTTTGGCCAAGGGAAAGCAAATACAAGATGATTGTTCTGCCTATGTAAAGAAGCTTCGAGCTATGCTTCACTCTACTGAAGAGCAGCTTCGGGCTCACAAGAAACAGACATTATTTTTAACCCATTTAACCTCAAAAACACTTCCAAAGGGTCTTCACTGTCTTCCCCTGCGCCTCACAACAGAATATTTCATGTTGAATTCTTCACAACAGCATTTTCCTAATCAAGAGAAGTTAGAAGATCCGAAGCTCTACCACTATGCAATCTTCTCGGACAACATCTTAGCAGCAGCTGTTGTTGTAAACTCTACTGTTTCCCATTTGAAGGTACTAAAATCTCCTCCCCCCAAAAAAAGATTTCATGTTTGAATTTTTATTGGTCTAAAAAAAGTCATATTTGATCAAGTGAAACCAATCTTCCGATTTTACTAGGCGTAGACTAGTCCTTGTGTAAGGTTTCTTGATATGTGTGTGTTTTTGTAAACTGAGCAGCACTCTTCGAACCATGTTTTCCACATAGTCACTGACAAGCTCAACTTTGCTGCAATGAGAATGTGGTTTTTGGCAAACCCTCCAAGAAATGCTACAATAAATGTTCAGAACGTGGAGGATTTTACATGGCTAAATTCAAGCTATAGTCCGGTTCTCAAGCAGTTGAGTTCCCCTTCCATGATTGACTACTACTTCAGGGGCCGCCGTGCAAATTCTGATCCAAATGTGAAGTTCAGGAACCCCAAATATCTCTCAATCATGAACCATCTTCGTTTTTACATGCCAGAGATATTCCCCAAACTGGAAAAGGTTCTTTTTTTGGATGATGATGTCGTAGTCCAAAAGGATCTTACCTCGCTTTGGTCAGTTAATATGAGAGGTAAAGTCATTGGTGTGGTTGAGACATGTGGAGAAAGCTTCCATCGGTTTGATCGCTATCTCAACTTCTCAAATCCTTTGATTTCCAAAAAGTTCAATCCCCGAGCTTGTGGATGGGCGTTTGGGATGAATATATTTGATCTGAATCAATGGCGGAGACAAAATATCACTGAGGTGTACCACTCATGGCAGAACCTGGTAAGGACAAATTTCCCCTAGTCCTTTGATGAACTTCACTAATGCATTTGAAATGTCTTTTTTAAGTGAGTTTGATGCATGTGAGAAGTGTTCGGGAACAACATTTGTGGGCCCTGGGCCGGGGTTCAGGGGAGGGGAGGGTGGGTTTCCCGAGGGGGAGCCCCCACTGTTTCCGATAATGGAAAGTAGGGTTTAGGGAGTGGGACCCATTTTGGGGCGAATTGAGCACCGTAGGGAACCCAAATGGGATTGGTTTTATAAAATGACAACAAAACTATCGTGTCAAAAAAAACTTGGTTTCAAGGATTTCGGTCCGCGAAATTTTTTGGGTTTGCATAATGCATCTCAAACATCTCATCTTACCAAATACTTTGTTGCAAAATCAGCAACCCAAACAACCGACATGAAGAGCTAACATTTGCCTATCTAACCTATAACCTCTTTCATGGCTCTTGAAATTATTTATGGCTTGAAAATAATATATTAAACAAATTCAAAATTGCAGAACCAGGACAGACAGTTGTGGAAGCTGGGAACTCTCCCGCCCGGTTTGATTACCTTTTGGAACCAAACATATGCCCTTGATCGGTCATGGCATGTCCTAGGCCTAGGCTATGACCCAACCGTGAATCAAAAGGACATTGCAGCAGCAGCAGTGGTACACTACAATGGTAACTTGAAACCTTGGCTTGAGATTAGCATTCCCAAGTTCCGAAATCTCTGGTCAAAGTTCATTGACTTTGACCAAGTCTATCTGCGAGAATGCAACGTCAATTCATTGAGTGACTCCTAATTCCCCCTCCCTCCCTATTATTCTTTATGTTTCTCTAGTCAAATTTTTTAAGGTATATGAATGGCGGGCCAAGCGCAACCAATGGAGTCTTTGAATGCCCGAGGTTCGAACCAATTTCTTTGCAAATGCAAGGGAACGTTTGCCTAAATTATGCCCTTCCCTAGGTAAATTTCATAAATGGTACTTTAACTATAATCATTGTAGTGTTGGTACCTCAACTTATCTGTTTAACAATTTTGTACCCCAACTCTTTTGAAATGATGTCGGTGTTTTTTCGACCACAATTGTCTTACATTGGCCAAAAAAGTGCATTTAATCTTTGTGGACGTCATTTTCATAAAGAGTTGGGGTATCAAATTGTTACATAAACAAGTTTAAGTACCAAAAATGTACAATGGGTATGGTTAAAAGTAGGGCTATGTGGGAGTTTTGGCTGTCCTTTTTGTTTTTGTTAAGGGGTATATATGTCTTAGTTGATAGAGTGAGAGCTCTATATTTGAATGTGCCTAGTAGATTTTGTGGCTGACATGTTTAGATTTTTTTACAGTTTATGCCCAAGTGCAGATGTATCACTAAATGACTGAGCATAGTCTATTCATTTTGTATCTTTATTATTATTGAGCATTATTTTTTGGTCTTGACACATTAACATAGGTCTCACATAAATGAGGCCTTTTTGTTCCATTGCATAGTTTGTTATGTCCAATCTGTAAAACTATAGTTTGAAGTTGAGAACAATGTTTTTCTTGGTTAGTTTAAAAAATTCATCGCGAAGGTGGAAGCATTCTTTTTATTTTCTATGTACACACTCACTCCCCAGATCTTACTTTTTGAGAGATTTTGTTCGGTCCATTGTTTGTTTTATAAGCTATTGGAACATATTATAAACATTTATTGTATGCTTTGGGATTTATTTAATTTACACTGTCCCAAAAAAAACTTAAAAAATTTAGTAACGAATAAGTGGCTCACATTTTCACTAGATTTTTTTCTCATCTAAATAAATTTTAACCACATTTTTTTTAAAAAAACTTTTCTTAAATTTTCATAAATGTCAAAGGGTATTTTTTTAGGAAGTATGTGTACTCTTGGATTATGTGTTGACTTTTGAATTTATTCATATGATTTAGCATGTGCATTTCTTTTTAGAACTATCAACAATGCTATGGCTGTTCTAGTTTTGGCTCCAAATTTTTTACTCCCCATCGCTTTTCTATAGATAACTGTGATAAAAGTGGCATCGAAATTGGTGTGCACCAAGTTTAATTGCTCTTTTTATACTCTCTATGTCTAAAAGTTATCTTTTCATTTAATATTCACATAATCAAATTTTGTTAACTATTTTAGCCTATTTTAGTTGCCATTTGTTGAAATAATATAGCTATGTCACTTCTAGTTTTAGATATTTTTTGATGTAGTTTTTAGACATGTAACTTTTAATTTTTTAATTCTACCATTTCTACGCCATTTTTCATATAAAATGATTTTTAAAAATTTCAGCCAACCAAATGTAGTAACACACAACGAGAAGATAATTTTTGGACGCATGAAGTACTATGGAATGATTTGGACCATGCTACAATCAAATCAAACTTAGACATCAGACACTCCCTCCGTCCCAAAAAGAATGTCGCACTAACTATTTCAGTATCTCGATAACTTTTGTTTGTTTACTCATTTTCGTTGACTATTTGATAAAAAAATATTCTTCTCGCATCTTATTTTATAGACCTGTTGATGTACTTTTAAACGGTGTAATTTTTCTACTATTTCTTTCTTTACCAACTTGTAAATAATTTAATTTTAAAAGTGATGATATTTTATACGTTTTTCAAAATACCACAAACAATTTGGGATGGAGGGAGTATTTTACTAGCATGTACATAATATAGTCATTTAACCAAATCATTTTCATCCAACCCTATCTTTAGAAGAGTTTACCCTTTGTTTTGTCCCCTTCATCTTTCAAGTTGGCTGGTAAGGTATGCTTAGCTGTGGACATTGATGGGGGGCAAGTAGATTCCTCACTTAAATGACTGTTCCATAATAATTCAGCTGTGAATGTGCTGTGAAATATTAAATGTGTTTTGCTCCGTGACCACTTTCATCCTAAATATTTTTTAGATTAGATTTTATTTTTTATTTTTTACAATCTTCAATGTACCATTTTGGTCGTGGACTATTGTATTTGGGCCTACATAATTAAGTATTACAGAATATAAAAACAAGACATTTCAAAGTAATTCTAATGGCACTAAAATAACATTATAATTTACTTTTAAATTAGGTGAAAGTTTATAACATTTGACTACGAAAAGTCGAACAAACAATATTAATCGGGACAAAATGAACCCCTCTCTATTTATTGCTTTTATTTGTATTTGCATTGGCATTGACTACAATGCAATTGGGAAGCATTTTCTATTATGGTCTATAAAGTACTCCTTTCGTCGCAGGGTATTCGTTCATTTTTTATTTTTTCGATTAAAATTGGTAAATTTGTCAAATAAATTAAATAAAAACGATATTAGATATTAATTCAAAAAATTTTTTATTAGATTTATTATATCAAATATTTTTAAAATATATTTTATCTAATAAATGTTCAGTATATATTTTATTTAATTATAAGTTAAAAATAGTTAACTGGGAAAAAAACTCGACAAATACTAAATGCTCGGAATAATATCTTATTTTGGGGGTTTTTAGACAATTTTTTAATAATGGCATGGAGAGAAAAAAGAACAAAAGGTGATGGTCTACAATGCAATTGGGAAGCATTTTCTATTA